GCCAGAGAAAATCCTGACAAAATCCGGAGAAAATATTTGCGAAGATATGGGAGAAGATGCAATGAACGAAATCGGACAAAAATCCTTTTTCTTCTCCATGTCTGCCACGTGTCCGGCAGCCAGAGATGGCTTGTGCTGCCGAAATCCGACCCTAAAACCGGCCAATGCATGCGATTTCCGAAGCTGACCATTTTTCCGAAGCTAAACTCTATAAATAGAGGCATTGAGGCGTCATTTGTGTGTTCAACCCAAAAGACTGAAGTTTCTCACTCTAAAAGAATTTCTCTCTCTCTCTTGAAAGTTTCGCTCGAGAAAACGTTGCCCCGTCCGGGTCGATCGTTGCTGCCGAAGGATCGAGAGATTAGTCGCCGGAAGATCGAAAGGTCGGTTGCCGAAGTAGATCTGAGAAGTTGAAGCCTCGCGTGCCTGCCTCGGTGAGAGAAGAAGGAAACCGCCGATAAAAACACTGTGAGTTGGATACAAATTGTGTGGGGTGCTGCATAAGTCTCCGGACTTGTGTACGTACCTATTGCGTGTTGCTTGCTTTTCTTTTTGTAGAACCCGCATGATAGCCTTTAAATTCTGCAAAAATGAACCCGCATGCTTAAACAATCCGGCCTAATTACAAGATAGTGCTTGATAATATGACCAACTAAAACGAATCCACATGATAATCCGGCTAGGCTAGTTTCGTAGTAATCACCAAGAACTATCACCTAGACTAGGATCACACTTGCTTGTTCGTTTGCCTTGCTTGCTTGTTGCTTGTTGCTTGTTGGTTGTTTGGATTGTTTGGTTGCTTGCTGTTGTTGTCTCTTCTAGTAGTGATTCTTCTCCGAGTAGAATTTCTTGCTTTTAGAGAGAGTCCTTAGTCTCAGATCGGTAGATTTGATTCTTAGGTTCGATAATCTGTTTCCTTGATGCTGTGATGGGGTCAAGAAGAGGTAACCTTTGTGGTTTCTCAGGTCTTGACCAGGCTGCTTGGTGTCTAGTTCGCGCCTAGCCCAAGATGTTGCATGACGATGCAACCAGATGCATCCTCCGGACCGAATGCCTTCGTGGTTTCGTCCCGAGCGATTGAGATGTATGGAAAAAGAGTGAAGGAACGGATCAGATTATCGATAGGATAGGAAGGAGTCTAGCGAGTCTAGATTTAGGCTAAGTCGGGTCTAGATTTAGGCTAAGTCGAGTCTAGATTTAGGCTAGTCGAGTCGTAGTTGTCTTGCTTGCTTTGCTGGTCTTGCTTGTTTCGATATCTATGCTTCCGCTAACGCTTTCTCTGTTGTTGCTTGTTTGTTTGGGGTTTGGGGTGGGGAAAATTACATGATAGATTTGGGGGTATCCGGCTCACTGAGTATTGCTAGAATACTCAAAGCTCATTTTGTTTTGCAGGTTTATTCTTATAAGGAGTCTAGACCGTAGCAAACATTAGGAGCCGGAGATAGGATATTTTTCATGTTTTTTGCAAAAACATTACTTTTCTATTATGTATAATTTTCTCGATGGATCCATGATTAAAACGCTTTGGTAAACTTGTTTTGTAAAACTTTATCATAAGTAATCAAAGGAAGTTTTTGGGGAAAAACCATGGCGTTTTCGAGCTGATATAATTCCACCCCCGTCGGCTTTGTCCGGGCCGATGGGAGTGCACAACTCCTCGTTCGTGTCGTCCGAGATAGGGGTTGCAAAGCCTCGGACTCGGCGATCGGACGAAGAGGGACGGCTGGTTCGGCTGCGATCCGACTCGGGGATCCTGCTTTACCCGTACTCCACCGCGGGAACCTCGGTCGCTCGTATCCGGCCACGCCCTCAGTAACGCGTCCGGGTCGTCTCTCGGCTCGTCCGGCCTTAGAAACGGTCCGGGGGCGTTACAACGGTGTCAGTCTTAATAATGACGGTAAATGAAGATAAAAGTTTTCTTTCATTAACTTTTGAGATATTACTGTGTTGTGAACTTACAAAAGGAAATCAAAATCAATTGAATCAGGAAAGCAACACATAAACATATACAGCTCCAAATTGCAACCAAACCAATCAGTGATGTGTCGTGCTTCTCCTCAGGGCTGCCAATATCCCCCCTCCTAGTCCTGTTGACGATTTTTTCTTCTCCTCTCCCTCTTCTCCTACCTACACAAACATTCATACACTTATATTCTTCCTTTTTCATTTCTTTTCATTCCAATCTTCTTTTTTTACTCACCTCCTTGGCTATCTCTTGAAGCTGCTCTATGATCTCTGAGAAGTCTGGTCTCTGCGTCGGATCCTGCTCCCACAGTCTCTCCAACAGCTCTGCCAGTTTCGGATGCGTGTTCTTTGGGATTGTAGGCCGTAATCCCTGTCATTCACACACAGTCTTTTACTAACATGTTCAATGCTTACAACTACTAATGCATTTCTACACACCAATCGCATACCTTCTGGACGACCCCTACTGCTGCCTGCAATGGCGTCATGTATTCATATGGAAGCTGCCATCACATCAAGACACTATCAGCCTCGTTTTGGGTGTTTATTTTCTCAGACAAAGAGTCACGCACGTACCTTCCCAGTCAACAACTCCCATAGCACAATCCCGTAGCTGAATACATCTGCCTTGTGATCATATGGCTTATGTTCTATCACCTGAATTACAGCAAAGCATTGTGTCCGAATGAGATACTAGCCATCTAATAGATGCCAATGGTAACCAATACTTGTGTATAACCACGACATAAGGAAGTACTGACATATAAAATCTATCTTACATTTAATAATTGGAAAATCAAACTGTCAGTAGCAAACGCCAGAATCAGCCATTTTATCACAGACATATATTATAGACCTACTTATCAATAAAGAATATGAAGGGACCTTTGACAGAAGACGTACCTCAGGAGCCATCCACCGATATGTTCCAGTTTCAGCTGTCATAACTCCAGTTTGTGCTTTCACTCTGGCAACCCCAAAGTCTGCAACCTTAACCACCTGCAACAATAAACCCAGACACGAATATGAATCCGCAGCTGAATTGCTATCCACAAGAGCAAGAAATAACTAGGTAATGGAGAGTGGAGGCCACGTTCATGAAAAGGATGTGATGGAAAACATCACGTACAGCACTAGCTCAAGGAGATAGCATATGTGATGCAGCAGAACATGTTATTTGAGCCGTAATGTGGCAAGCAGTGTTTCATCCAAAGCGTGTAAAAAAAATGCAGATTCATACTTTCCCACTACAAAGATATATGAAACACGAAGTTGAGAGTATTACCTCATTCTCGTCCATTAAGAGGTTGGCAGCCTTCAAATCTCTGTGAATTATGTTATTTTGGTGTAAGTAGCTCATCCCTTTGCAAATATCTATAGCTACTTTAAACAAAGCTGGAAGCTTAAAGACGCCCTTTTGCTTGTGGAGATAGTCATATACACTTCCACCAGGCATGAATTCTATTTAATGAGAAAGAGACAAAGTAGGGGAACGAGCAAGAAATGGTAAGCGTATAACGTGAAACTCAACAGGATGATACGGATAAACATGGTCACTGCAACATACCTGTAACGATACACAGATGAGGAGGCTTGGTGCAAGCACCAATGAACTGAACAACATTTTTGTGTCGAACTTTCCTGAAAACAGATAGATTTTTAAATGATACTTTAGGCATCTGAGATTCTATTGTTTATCTGCACATAAAATTACAAAGGAACAGACAAGAAGGCACACAAACCTCATAATAAAGACTTCTTGGGCAAACTCTTTCTCCAGCTCTGAATCTAGACGCTCTGGCTTGAGGACTTTGATAGCAACTTCCTGGCTACAATATGTACCTTTATACCTGAATAAAACAAAAGGTAAAAAGAAGGAGGGAGGGAGATTAATATTTGAGAACCTTAATATGACAATGCGTTTGATAGATACAGGTACAGCCCAACTTACAGATCTCCATAAGAACCAGATGCTATTTTGTGCCCAAACTTTAAGTGTTTGAGGTTGATTTCCCAAACATCAGTTCCATCATTGGGTATTGGAACATGAGTTCTGGCACCTGTTTGCCCATTTTCCTTTTCAGGAGAGAAGGATTGCTGCATAGGCCAGCTTTGGCTCTGCAACTGAGTATGATGAAAGAATCATTAAAAACCGTAAGACTTCATGTTATATAAGTCCAATTCATTCAGAATCGGGTGCCTTAGGAAGAAAAAGATTGTGAATGGATCATAAATTTCAATGCCTTGAACGTGAAATTAGTTAAGTTTGCAACTGTAAACAAGTACCTCGATCTTTGCTGCTTCTTTCTCCAATGATATTCTAAGTCTGTCTGTTTCCTGAGTAAATAAAAAAAGTTGCGTTTCAGCTAGTAGATCACCAAACAGCTAAAGGAAAGGGATGTTGGAAGGAATGGATTACAAACATAAACATAAAGATCCTTTAATACCTCGTACGGCCAACCATCAACAACAAAAACATCAAGTGAGTAGCCATCAGTAGTAGAGAAAGCATGCGCCTCTTGAATGTTAAGCCCAAGCTCAGCAAGCAAGGCAGTTAACTGCAACATTTAGTTAAAAGATGACACGAGTTTTATATAGAAGAAGATAAATTCATATTGGAATTTCGTAATTATGAAATACCTGAAAAAGGAGTTTAGGTTTGTCTTGAGTGGAAAAAGTGATCTCATGCAAGGGACTGGATTTGAACAAAGAAGGAGTTCAAGATTATTCGTTGCCAGAAACAAAGGAAAGAAAGAGATGATAGAGTGTTGTAGGAAAAGAGCAAAGGTACCGGGAATAGAGGGAATTGTTATGAACGGAATTGTCGCCATCCTGGTCCTGGTCATGGGGGGGAATGGTAGCTGAAAGAGCAAGAGCTTCAAGATTGGGGGATGAACCAAAGGCAGGGGGCGGATGAATGCTGGGAAGCAGAAGAAGAATCGAATCAGAATCGAATCATAAGAGAAGAGAAAGGCCAGAGAAAGAGGGGGAAACCTTTTAGGAAAGGGAGAATTGTGAGGAGCTTCATTAGTACAAGAGTCCAAGGAAGTGGAGTCAGCTGAGGTCCCCGCAGGTTGAACCTTAAGAAAAGATCAGTCACCAAATATCCTGTGAGCCGAGAGAAGCCAAAAAGAAGTTGACACAGGCAAACAAACAAACAAACAAAAGTAAAACGATGAAACAAGAGACTGCAAGCAAGAGAGAGGAGGCTCTGTGTGGATTTATAGAAGAAGAAGGGAGGGAGAGAGAGAGGAAGCAAAACCTGGACGAGACGGACTTGGATAGCAGGCCTATTGTGAGGATCATAAGCAGAAAGGAGCAATCTCTTGTGCATGAGGACGTCTTCTGCCCTCTCCACATTGACATCCAAAGCATACCTAATTTTGAAAACAACAAAGAGAGAGAGAGAGAGAGGGATAACTTGTAAATCGGATCTGAAGACAAAATGCCGGGAGGGGGCACATGCAGAGCAGAGCAGAGCAGAACAGAGAGAAAGAAGGGAAGGAAGAGAAAGGGAAACCTGGCAGGGAGGCGGTTGAAGTGAGTCCAGAGATCGTCTTGGAAAGAAGGGAGAAGGGTGTCAGGGATGTCGGAAAGACGGAGGCGGCGGAGAACCTCGTGGAAGACCTCCATTTTGATGCGCTCGCGACGGTCCATGGTAGCCTGAGATGTTGGTAAGGCGTCGTAAATTAAGCGACTGGCGCAACTCTCGTTGTCATCCATCACCATTGACGACGACAGATATTTAAAGGAAAAGTGAAATGGAAGACGAAGAAGAAAGAAGAAGAAGAAGATCCTTTCCTATCCTAGTAATGGGATAAAAATGTCGGCAATCCTTTGCCTCGTTTTGTTGAATAATTGGATCGATACAGACAGACTTGGGGGTGAAGAAGAAGAAGAAAGAAATTCAAAAAAAATGAAAACAAAAAAGAAGGAGGAGGAGGAAGAGGAAGCGATGAGAGAGATCAGAAGAAATCACAAGTTTAAGAATTGGAGAGATAGAGAGAGAGATGCTGTTTAATTTTGTGTGTTTTGGGGGTGTTTACAATTGTGATTAAAGAAATAATGTTGTTACCCGTTTTATGGGATTGGGTTTAGGGAAAGAAACGACAGCGTATTAAGGGGAAGTGTGGGGGAGCGGGTGAGTCTGAGTCATGCCGCCGTGGCGATTGATAGATAGATAGATACTTTACTGATCCACAATAACAAACAACAGAAGAGAAAGATAAAAGAAACGTTCAGAGAAGAAGGGTATGAAAGTAATTTAATGGTGGCGGAAGCTTCTCCCTATCAATTTCATTTATTCTATTTGCTTGCTCTTTATAGGTTATTGTATATTATTTAAGGATGTGAATTCGCAATTTATGAGAGAAGATAATTACTTAAAATACACATACTGTAGTTAAAAGTATATTTTGGTTTTATTTTATGTTCATGTTTCTGTGGGTCATCAGTCACAATGTCACATCCTCTACTCCAAAATATAATCAAATAAATAAAATAAAATATGAAAGGAGAGCCCACCCCAGGCCCACACACACACAGACACTTATCCGGATCAGGTTCCAACTCCTCCACCTCCTTTTTTTTATTTATTTTATTTTTAGTATTTGTTTTCGTGTGTTTTGTACATTTTCTTACTTACTTTCCTTTTCACATATTTATTTGCCCTAATAAATCTTTTTTCCCCTAAGGCCAACATTATTGTCAGACTCTTAAAACCGAAATAGAGTATCTTAGCACAGTGTTTTGTATCTTATATATAAGATACAAAACACTGTACTAAAATACCCTATTTCGGTTTTAAGAGTCTGCCAATAATGTTGCTCTAACAATACTCTATACTCTGTCTGTAGTAAGTATAAAACAACCCTTTTTCATTTCATTATCGATCGTGCTTTTGACTGGGTTGATGGATCATGCAGCGCCAACTATCTACTATTACCTTCCATTCCATGCACACTCATCAGCCATCTCATAAACAAACACACCACCGCTCCTCACATATATCTAAGACCATCTCATCTCTCTCTCTCTCTCTCTCTCTCCCCCTAACATATCAAACGTCTCTCTCCCGCATGTATGATGTGACGACTCCTTCATCTTTGGAGATGCTATGCTACGCTACATTTTCCTTTCTTTTTTTCTCATTTATACTGTACAACCTTTCCACCAAAACAACACACAAAACTATGTTCTTTTTCTCATATATACTGTACAACGTTTCCACCAAACCAACACACAAAACTATGTACACTACATATATATATCTCTCTTATATATGTATCATTCAGGTTACATATATAATCAATGTAATATAAATGTTGATCTAGCGGAACTTCTAAGATTAGATTTCCATTCACAACTATTAATTGTAGCCTACATGTATCATTATCAAAACAAATTAAGAGTAATATACCTTTTATATATATTAATAGCTTCTTAACTATAAACATGTTGTCAACCCATAAAAAGAAAAGAATAGACTATCACATATAATATGATATACTGTATCTATATAATTCGGAAAAAAAAAGAATAGATTATCACATATATACAAATTTCATACAAACCTAATTAATACTTAATGGCTCCTTTTGTTGTTGTTGTTGTTGTAACTGTAGGTTCCTAGTTCCTGCTGTTGCCTGTTGGAACCCTATCCTTAGCTGCCTTTTTTTGTTAAGGTATGTCTCTATAAAATTTGGTGTCTTTAAAAAAAAAACGTGGTGCATGCATGGTTCCTCCTGCTTGTATGTATATATACCAAACCAAAAAAAAAATGCGCGTTATAATAATAATTTGGAGTTACATACTCTTAAATTACTAACTAACTATATAACGATAAATTAAAAAACACGCATATATTCATTGTCATATATAATACCAAAACGGATATGCAGCACTTACTTTTTTTATGCTTTTTTTTAATGACTAATATATTTTGTGGTAAGGAAAATGACTAATATCACCCACGCATATCACGATATCTTACAGCACTTGGTCGTAGTAATGCAGTGCAATGCCACGCTCGAATGATTTATTAGGTTGGATATACATATATATATATTTATTTTATAGTACTTATTGACTATATTTTTTTGTTTTTTCGTTTTTATTAAAATACTCCGATAGGGCTACTAGTAGTAGACGATGTCGAGGAAGGAAGGAGTTGACCAGAGGCAGCAGCAGAAGTGAAGGATGATTAAGAGATGCGGCAGCCAGAGATAAAAAAGGAATAAACCCTCTTTGATTCGGTCGTCGTTATTAATTCATCTCATTATATAATAAAAATAAAAAAAAACTCTCTCAACTTTAGAAGTATTACTATTAATTAATAAAAGGGATTTGGTCGCAGTGGATGTGGCAGCACATGTCGCTGCATTTCATTCCATCCGATCCCACGTGGAGTGTTGCCCTTTTACTCTCACCAAAGGTCACAAATGGGACGCCTACCCGCGGGTCTCTCTTGTCGACGTAATTTCTATAACCCAAACAGCAGCGTTTGGTAATGCAATCCTCATTCATTACTTATATACGTATTAACCCCGCGAGTGTGTATGCATATTTTGTGTCTCATCAACTCTTAACGTATGGTTTGCTTGCCAAGTTTCTTTGTATGTTTTATCATTATTCATATCGTCATTAAGCAATAAAAATATGGGGAATGCATTGTGTATATTTATTTATTTATTCATTCAGCTCAAGTACCAAGATATACTTAAGTTTCAACGACTAAACGCTAGTATATGTCAGATCAATTAGATTATATTATCACCACACAACGCAGAAAATATATAATGTATTATCACCAAACAAGAAAATTACGGATATTCTTAACTAACAACGTTTAATTATTTCCAGAATAAACCCTAATGATCAACTCACACACCAGTCGGTCAAGGATCATGCTATAATGGACACGGCCAATTTAATAAAACTCTTTATATATATTTACATGTTGTTAGTTATCATCAGCCAGATTTCGTTATTTTTATGTAGTTACAAGTTAGTATTAATTACACGATCTATTCATTTTTCTATTAAATTTTTTTTTAAAACAAATTAATGTGAAATTCTAGTAGTATATAATAGAGATTCATTGTATCGAGACATCAAATTCTCTGATGTCTCTCTCTCATATATAGACTTATAGTTGTAATAAGCCTACACGTTTAAGGAAAGAAAAAAAAAAATCTCTTAACCAAAATAAAATTAGCAGTTGAGATGTATGTATAATTCAGCAGCTATCAAATATTGACCAAAGTTGCTCGTTCAATATAGAGTAACAAAAATGTGCTTCATCAAGCGCCCTACATACTTATAATACAGTATATGATCCAGTACTCATAATTCAGCATGTTGATATAAGTGAAGTATAAGTATATGTGGAATTAGTTTGTACAAACATAATTAGGTAGATAATTTAGTTGAGAAATAAATTAAAAAAATAGCATGAAAGCAATTCTTGTATGTTTGAAGAGTAAACAGATAACCTACGAATATATATATTTCTAGCTAGAGATTTGGCACAAAATACTTCATTACGTACGTCCAATAGTCAATAGACACGTTTTGTACGCAAACTCAGGATTATTATTATTATTATTATACGGTCCTCGTCTAATTCTAGGGAAAGTGTTAGTGATAATCCATCCGAACCCGAACGAAAGAGACTGATAATAATTCTTTGTTTTTTCTTTCTTTCTTTCTTATGGAACATATATATATATATATATATATAAAACGTGGAGATCATATATAGATAGTGTAGAAAATGACGTAGATGTATATATTGGATAAGATGGCCAACCATTAATAATAGTTGAAAGAGTTTCGAAATATACGTATATACAGACTTGGCTTAGGTCTTTACAACTATTTACTACTAATCGTCACATTTATCTTTAGAGGATTTGTCGTTGGCATGTATGTAATGTACGTAGTCTAAAATGAAAAGTCTTTTCTCTCTTTTTTATGTTTGCTAGTTTAAACAGTTTACAATTCCACTAGTAAAAGAAGAAGTAATCAACTAGGCCAAAAATGAAATATAGGGATGATGACATGTAAATTAAGTTAAACGATGAAGATAATTAGACGTGTTAATCAATCAACCCAAGTAGTGGGATAAAAGTTACAGAGATAGAGAAGTCCATAAGGACGGCGAAAGGCCCGTTGAAGGCCCAAAATCAGAGAAAAAGACGGTGGGCAGCGTAGTCAACGAAGGTGTGGAGAGGAACAGCAAGGGTGTTGTCGAACACTAGAAGCTCCTTCTTGGCCTTGTCCTCGAGCTCTTGTGCCATTTCGATAGCGTCCTTGTCCTTGTCCATGTCCATGTCATCTACCACCTGATAGAGCATCCCAACGGCTCTGCCGTACCTTCGAAGACTGTGCAGCTCATCCTCAGAGGCACCTCCCAAGAGGCCACCGCAGACGGCAGAGCACTCACCCATAGCTCCGAATTTCTTCTCCTGAACGAAAGAAAGAGGAAAGGGGCCTCCCTCAAGGTCGACGTACTGGCCAGCAGCCATACCAGTGGAGCCGACGGTGCGGGCAATCTCGGCGATGACCCTGAGGATGGTGGGTCGGGGAACAAGGTCTGCAGGGGTGTGGGAGACAATGTGCTGGAAGGCGAGCGGGAAGAGGGCGTCACCGGCGAGAATGGCGATGTCTGAGCCGTAGACAGTGTGGTTAGAGGGCATGCCTCGGCGCACGGGATCATCGTCCATACAGGGGAGGTCGTCGTGTATCAACGAAGCCGCGTGGACCTGATGATTGGTGGGATTCAATTTCCAATTACAACAAGACACAAAAAGACTTTTGTAATTTCTTTTTAAAAGAAAACAATCTCACCATTTCTAGGGCACATGCGGTTGGGAAAGCGGCGAGGCGATCGCCACCGAAGAGCTCGCAGGCAGCCACACACATGACAGGAGGGGCACGCTTGGCGCCTTGTGCGAGCACTGAGTACCTCATGGCCTCGTAGATCCCCGTAGGGTATTTGACCGGTATCGCCTCGTCCAGCTTCTGGTTGATCTCCGTTATCAGAGTTCCCCAGTACGTCTTCAGATCGAAATTCGTCGACGACGATGACGACCCAATTGCTGCCCCTGAGAGCCTCATAGGGCGACGATTCACCGGTTTCTCCGCTGCAAGAAAACACAACCTCGGCGCTAATGGTGTCGCTGAAGCACTAAGCAACATCGCCTCGGATCTGTCTAATAGAGTGACTGAGTGATAGAAGATGATCCCTGGTACTAAAAATGTCAACTAGAGATAGAGATACAATAATATAATAATCAAACTTTGTGTGATAGAGATAGATATGGTTTGCTAAGACAGACAACGTCGCATTCGTGCCTGATGCCACTACTCCCAAGTTAATTGCACTTTGTCAGAATCCGGAGAACCCACAGAGGGGACTGATTGGATTGGATTGGATTGGATTGGATTTAATTACACAGCTCAAAATTAATTTATTTTAAGAGAAAAGAAATGGACACAACACATTCTCTTTCAATCCGCTCATAGCTACTATCTATGATGACACCCACTGGCACTCGGGTTTCACCTTCTTCCACATAATGCGACGGACTTGAGCTTCTCCATTTCCGATAGCAGGGACGAGTTCCCTTCACACGCCTCTTTCAACACCTCCAATCTTCTCTCTTTCTCCTTCCTTTCTTCCATGGCGTCTCCAACCCTATACCCCACCAGTTCCAGCATCATCCCCTGAAACATTGTTTTTATCCACGTTTTTATTTTCATCCTCACACCTCATACCGACAAGACATGCTCATTTAGCTGGCCAGGGATTTCATTCAACTTACCTCACGATGCCTCTTTCTCGACAAATCTCTCATCAGAGACTTCACTATCTTATTCTGCAGGGATATTTTTTCCTTGGCTTCTTTGCAGAATACTACAGATGATAAATGATGCACAACAACTGCAAAGGCTACTGATCCTCGCGCCGCAGCTCTGTCCAGGGCTCCACAAGTCCATGACTTCAGGTACGCCTCTAGGACTGCCTCGTTTTCCTGCCAATCAATTTACCAAATTTGTCTAGTCAATACTCATCAAGATGCAATTATTCAACACTATTTACCCTCTCTTTTTCTTTTTGGGGAGCAAATTATTACCTCAACCGGTTCAAGATAACCATCTGCTTTTCCCAAGCACTTGTCTAGTCCCGGAAGAAGCTCAAGAACACGGGCATTGGAGAGCGCAGTCCATGCTGAAAGCCGTACTGAGGATTCCACACGTTGATGCAAGTAAATCGATACCTGTCGGCCATACAGTACATCACCATATGACACTGCAGCATACTGCTCCACAACCATCTCCAGAAAAGTAGAGTAGTTCTCGTGAATGTCTGACTTGAACCTCAGGATCTCTATGTCATGGTGGTTTAGCCTCGCTTCATCAAGAACCTGCCCATAGAGCTCCTGCAGAAAACTGTACAAATTCCTAGTGTTCTTGTCTTCGATGATGTCCATTCCAACAAGCAACACGGTAGACAAAGCGTGAAACTTCCAAACCAACGGCACACTCAAAACAGGAGACGGAAGCGATCCAAACCCAGACGAGGACTCAAGTCCTGCAAGAAAGAAAACTCCAGCTTTCGCGACTTCAAGCAACTCTGTGGATTCTGGTGGTCCTGCTGAGGTTTTACCACTGTGGACTGCTGAAATGGCGCTGAGAAACCAGTGTGGAGGTAGGGGCATTCTCTGGTGAGCCCACTCTATGCTCGAAGAGTCTACTTTTTGATCCGGAGTTGAATAAGTTGGCATTTCACCGTCCTCATCAATAGTCTCCAAACCAACTGTGCCCTTCTTTACCCCATCGACTCCTTTCTCAGCTTTAGATTTTCCCTTTGGCTGTAACCATCTATGTCTGAAGTGAGAAGCAAGCATACTGCTCATACGACGATAATCCTCCTCGCTGCAATCCCATTCAAATGATATGGTTTTCTCATCTGACTTGATACAGCAGGCCAGGTGTTCTAAAGCATGTGGTCTGAGGACATAGTCGAAGGCTCTTTCCACAAGTAAATGATCCCTTGGACCTGCAATCAAGCACATAGCTAAAGCGGAGTTCATTTTATCCATCAAGCAAACAGATCCCTGATCATTATGCGCGTCCATCTGCGAGATGTTAAGAAAGAGACTCAGAAGACCGGCATCAGCCTGTGCCAACAGAATTCTGGTTGACCAAAACCCTCCACCACTAGCTCCCCAACCAAGTCCCACCCCAGGGGCCAGTCCGCCTCGTTTGTGCAGCTCAATGGATTGTACAATGGACCATTCCGATGAAACAGAATCTCTAAAAGAGCTCGACACGGATGTTAGGTCAGCCAGAGACTCTGCCAGAATTCCTTTTGCAAGCACAGATTCGTCTCTAGTGCAAATACTTCCCTGATGAGGAGTTTTCATCTTAGATCTAGCAGATTCTATCAGAGTTTGGATGGACACGATAGTCCGCATTAACCCATGAAGGCATCTCACAGAAGCCAATGCTAGTTCATCATATTGAGATCGTTCTCTTAGAAAACACAAAAATTCCATAAAAGAGGCACACCTGGAAGAGTCTTTTCTACACCTACTTACTTCTGCAACGGAAAAACTAAGAAGCTTATGCTTGATGATGGCAAGGCCAATCTTTGGAACAAACTCCGGCAGCCATGGTAGAGGTTCTTCCTCTCCATGGGGAGAGATTTTTTCAAGGACTACGGAAATTGTACGCATGATACCCGAATACAACCACAACAAAGAAGTAGTGGACACAGAGACACTTTCAATTCCTCTCTCCCACTCGAGTAATTGAGGGGCCAATGATATCCAGCTCAGTGCTGAATCAATCATAGGGCTAACATAACTCCAGTCCCAAGTCCCCGATTCTTTCCGTGGAAGGTTTTGTGAGTACATATTAGGAAGTGTCTCGGCAAAAGCCTCAAGGACAAGATAGGCCTCCTTAGACATGGAAGTAAACTCGCTGATGAGATTTGTCTCCCTGAGCTTTTCGAATGATGGACAATTCAACCACAGACACAGAGCTGGGAATAGCTCTGGGAAGCGAGATACACAACAGCCATTATGGATACAGACCTTCCAAAACCGGAGCTGTTCAACCATCAAAGTGGATGAAAGCTTGCAGTTCTGCGTCCCTAACTTTACCCATGAGTCAAGAGAGGAGGTGAACTGAAACAAATGCCACGTAACGGCGTTGAAAATCCCGTTCTTCACAAATTCAATGCAAGTACTTTGATCATACCGGGCCAACACCTTAGTGAAATCAAAAAGAGAGAAAGAAAAACAAAGGTTATAATAGCTCTGAGGATTGATAGCTTAACAAACTTGTATTATAAAGTTCTGTCCAAAACATCAAAGACGAATGAATATAAAAACCTCCAAGATAATTTTGTATGAGTGCACCGTATTACCTTTAAGAGACGGACAGAATTGATCTGAGAAGGAAGAACGTCCATTCTTTTGTTCAATTTGAATATTTTTACAATTGTTTGAACAAATTTGGGATACTTCAAGATTGCAGTTGCACATTTTGGAGAATGCCTTGCTATCGCAATAGTAACAGATATTATGCTGTCCTCTAGCGCTGCTGTTGGTTCTGTCTGAAATGATAAACATAAAAGACAGATCCAGAAAACTAAGTAACCGGTAAAGCAACACAAAAAGAATAATTTTCCTTTCTTATTTACACATAGATAGTGATCTCACCTCCAGAAGGTGATAAATTCGTGGAAGGATATCCATTCTGACAAGACCAGCAGCAACATCTTGTCCGGCTACAAAAACATCTTTCTGAATAGTTTCCGTATCCTCTGTCCCGTCCTCCATGATTTCTTCACGGAAAGGAACAATATTCGAAGGTTTAGCGCTATACTTCCAGTAGCAACCACGGAGGAAGCCAAGATCAATATCCGGCTTACTCCTAAACACCGGGGCCGTGAAGATGTCCCTCCCGTGTTCCATGTTCTGGAAACGGAAATAGAAATTATTAGTTTGAACACATAGATCACGTTCTATGAGGACTATAACATCTTCTAAGTGAGTAAAAATCAACTATACCTCCAAGATATCAAAGAAGTTCTCGTTAAGAGAACAGCTCAGTAGACACTGAATCACTTTTACACTTGCTAGAACAACAGAGGTATGGTTGTCATCAAGAGCCATCCTATAGAAGAAAAAGAGACTTATATTGATAAGACCAAAAAATATATGATATATGGGAGGTAACTTAACAAATAAGTCTCACTTTATTCAAAAAAATAAAAAAAATTATACCCATAAGGGAGATTACCTCAATGCTAAGACAAGCTCAGGTTCCGGTCCAAGGGCATAAGCCCAGATGGCTTCCCAATCAGTGGATTTATCTTTTTCTTCCCTTGTGTAGCCAATTCTGCTCCCACAAAGTTTGTTCAAAGCTTTGTCGAGTACAGATGCAAGCAGATGCAAAGCAAGGCATCTTTGCCCAGGAATCTGACATATCAATAATACATACAAATTAATGAGCAGTAATAACGAAATCCCGAAGTCTTAGCCTACAGGTTTTTTCCAGCATAAGCCGAGATGGAGGCAAAAAAGAATTTAACCATTCTTTGTCATCAGAACTAAAATATGTGGCAATCATACCACACTCCGTGCGAGAGCAATAGCTTCTTTGATGGTGTACCCTGCTGCCCCAGGGTCTCCCTCAGTTCTCAAGAAGTCACGTTCAGCAGCAGATCCAACGCTAGACCACTTTTCACCTGTACATTCAATGCGTAAGCAATAAGCACCCTAAAATTGTCATGAGTTTCAGTTGTATTGTTCTACTCACCAGTTTCAGCTGCTGAGACAACATCATCCTCAACAACATTCCCGTCAAAAGAAAATCTCAAGTCCCTGGCTGCCTCAACCCTCTCAGTCCATGCATCCCACAAGAATCCTTGGGCTAACGCTGACTTCTGCACCACACATTTTTCTTTTAGTATCGGCATCACTAGAGAAGTAGATGGAGTAACCGCCTGGCCTTGTCGTGAGAGAATTTCAGGAGTGACAAAATGAGCCTCAGTTCTAGAATTCTTTGCTGCCTCTTCGGCAATGGAAACCCCAGGCACTGAATGCTTTCGCTTCTTCATTTTTTCCTGACCTCGTTTCTTCAAAATGTTTAGTAATGCAGGATCCATTTTGTCCAATAAGTCAGCCTGTGCTTCTGCAATCTCTTCGGGTGACATTGTCTGCAACCTTGCATGGTTCTCTACATCAATATCACTCTCAAGACACGAAGAGGCTTGTCTAGTCCCAAGTCCATTCGATATGGAGGAAGAAACAGCTAGGGGAGTAGAAGCCTTAGACGAAATATTTTCCTCGGTTCCCAGATCATTACTAAAGGGTGATTTCTGAGAAAGAAACTCTCTCTGGTCAGATGCCCTGGCAGGTTTAACGAGTAAAGTGTTGGGGGAAGTAGTGGGAACGTCGGGGGAGGCAACAGAGAGCGAAGTTGTTGTAATGATCTTAACTTTCCTTGAATCCTTAGGGCCAGATGTGGATGCAGAGACCATATCTTTCCACGTCCTGAGGTCCATGTGTTTCTTCTCCTTTCGTTGAAGCGGTTTAGCAAAAGCAGCTGCATTCATGAAACGCTCTTCTTCTTCTTCTTCTTCTTCCTCATGGTCATTAGATTGTGCTAAGGTCCCCGCAGGAGCCCAATGCTACAGAATCAAAACAATGAATCTAATAAGATGAATTGAAGAGCTGAAGTAAAGGTCAGGGACTACGGTAAACAAGTTGGTTGAAATTGTAGAGTCGCGCCGCCGAGTAGTAAATAATAATAAAAAAAGCAGTAATCAATCCTCAAAATCTAGAAGAAGCAAAACAAAGTGAAGATGGAAACTGCGACTAGAAGATGTGATTGGCTTACGAGTCCGTGAGAACGATGACGAGCGACGGGGAAGGAAAGAAGAGTGGGGCTTGGGGGAAGCGGCTTGTTTGGAGGCTTATTCTCCGATATACCTTTCTCCACGATGCTCCCAACAAGGCTCGAAGCCGTCGCCAAGACGTTGGGTCCTTTCCGATTGACTCTCCCGCTACTTTGCTCCATCACTTAACCCTTTCCCTCTCTCTCTCTAAACCTTCTTCTTCGCTGCGTATTTTTTATGTTGACTGGAAAAAGGAAAAATTACACAAAAAAAAAATAGAAACCCTTCTCTTCTTCTTCTTCTTTTTTTTTATTTTTATTTTTTTTATTAAAAATATTTTTGGATCATCAACTTTTAATCCTGCTATACATTTTTTTTCTTCTACAAACTCCGTATACTAGTTTCTCAGAATTAGAGTTTTTCATGAACATGATTAAAAATATTATGTGATGAGCATCGAGTTCTAGGACTTGACCAGAATGAATCAATCAGTCTTAACGAGCTAAGGGACTTGTGTGTTTTCCTCTCTTATGTTAACAACATTCCCCATACACATACTCCACAAAAGATAAAACATTGTTGTTGTTGCTATCACCATACTCTTCGTAGTCGGACAAAACAACTACAGTCTCTACGACCCTCATCGATTCCATTTACATTCTTCTTACTATTTTCAACCTTAATCTCTTTCTGGTGTCACTCCCGTTACTCTTCTTGAACTCAAATTCCCTGCATACGACCATGCTTTCTCCGTTTCCCCCACTACTCCCTTCTCTCTCGTCCCACTCCTCTTCACTGAATACAGCGGTGGTGCTCTCCTCGGGCTCCGAGATGCTACACTTAGGGAAGGCGTTGCAAATGGGGATCCGTAAGGCGAGCTTTGCACTGAGAACCCTTTCTGAGCGTCGAGTCCATTGATGCTGAATAGTGATAGCGGTTCCGTGGCTGACATGGATTTTCTCATGGCGTCATCAACATACAGCACATCATCTATTCTAGCCATGATGTTGAATGCCATGCTCTCCATCACCCTCGAGTAACTCTCCAGAATTGATTGCCCTACATCCTGCAACAACAGAAAAACAAAAAAACACACAGAGACTCTAGAATTATTTAAGCATTGTTTCATGTTGCAACCAGCAGATTACAGTCCTTTGAACGAACTTATTATACCTTGTTGTACTGAATCTTGTTCATGTCTAGCGTTGTCTGGGGAAGACCCGGGAAGCGGATCCTCAGACTCTGCAAGAGGGTCTGGGCTCTCTGCACAAGGAAATCACTTCTTTCGGTGTCATTTACAAGGCCTTTAACCTTGCCACCCCATGTAGAAAGCTTTAGCTTTGCCTGCTTCTTGTGGCTCCTCCCACTCTTCCGTTTCCAAACGTGGACAGCAGCCTCAATCCGGTTGGCGATTTCAAGGGTCTGATGCTCCGATGACAGATCAAGACAGTCTAGGAGACATTCTGGTGAGAACTTGTTTGCGGTTAAGTAGTGGTAGATGATCTCTCCAAGGCATTCCTTGCCGCTCTGCAGAAAGTATAAAATTAGAGCTCAATGAGCCAACCACAGAAAAGCTACAGGGGAAACCTTGAGCACTCAGCAGCATACCTTGGGCAATGTCTCCAAGTAAGGGTCAGGAATCTCCATCTCGGCGAGCACGCCGCTGTTAATTGCCAAAGCAGCCTTGAGAATCTGGTTGGCAAAGTCCCGGCACTGCTGCAGCTTCTTCCTAGTGTCTTGAGACAAACCGTTAGGGGGAACCTTAGGGCAAGGGAGCCACCACTTGTCCTCCTGCCTAACGGAAGGGCGGCCAGAGGAAGCAGGGGAATTGTAGGAATCCTGGTCGCACTCTCCAAGAAGAATACCGCGATCGGTATACCAGAAGTCGGTATGGGAGAAAGAGTCAAGCATATCGATGAGCATAGCATCGAGCTTCTTGAGGGCAGGGAGATTGGCATAGAGATCAGAACGGGGGCGAGTCTCCATGATCTCATAAGTTCCGCCTCCAGGGAAGTGCTGAATGGAAGGAATGAGCTCAACGATGGAATCGCTAACACAGAGTAGCCATTCGAGTTCTCTGCGCCACATGGCCTTCTTCTGAGGGGCAAGGGGCTCAAGCCTCCATAGCTCGCCAAAGACAGTGGCTGTAAAATCCAACAAAGGGGGGGGGGATTGAGATGATGAATACATACGAGAAGAAGCCCCTTAGCAACAAAAATGGAGATTGAGAGAGCTGACCAGAGAGATTGGTGATGGCGTTGGAGATAGCAAGCGCCGTACAAACCCCTTTGCCTCCGCCTGACATGTCTTCTCCGAGAAGTAGCTTAGCAAATCTCTCTTTCATCATCTCAATTTCTATCACCGGGAAATGCCAAATTACATTTTTAAAGGAGAAAGGCAAAGTTAATGAATGGCGTAGTAAAAGAAGAAGGGGGGGGGGGAGGGGTACCGGATAAATGGGTGTCAGGTTTGTCATCCCAGACGACATCTTTGCCACCGATCACAGGAAGCATAACCGGGGCAGGGAAGTAAAATCCTCGGGGAGGAGAGGAATGGTTGGGGGCGTCGGCGTCGAAGCTGGTAGAACTCTGGGACTCGCTAATGTCGGCGCTGGGACTGTAGCTTCCGCATCTCTCGGAAGAAGAGCCTCCGTCGTCTTCTACATCAGAGGATAGACTACCCATCCCTTACTATTATTATTCTTCTTCTAGAGGCAGAGATCTAACAACTAAACGGCTCAAAGAATCCACATTTGTTTGTTTGGCTCAAAGAAGACTGACAGAGAGAAAGTAAGATGGAGGAGGAAGCAAGGCAGTGGATGTGATGATGGTTTTTTTTTTGTTTGATTGACAAAAAAAAATTAATTAAAAAAGAGTAAAAGCAGCAGAGATATTACTAAAAGTTAATAAAAATAAAAATGACTCCTTTCCTCCTCTCTCTCTCTCTCGTCGTCCCAACTCTCACGGCCGCCGTTAAGTGACGGTCTTCTTCTTCTCTTGGTTTTGGGAGAAGGAAAAGTAAGTAGACGTGGAAAAGACTTAACGGCCAACGATTCTTAATAATATCCCACGGACGTTCTCATTTGCGCCCCCTTGTTTATATTAGCCGTTGGATATATTATAAGAGAACCATCTCACGATCAGCAGCAGCAGAGCGTTGTTTGTTGCGTTGTGTAACTGTGAGAACCTCTCTAAGCAGCAAGCAGCGGGCAGAGAGATATATAAAAAATAAAAATATTAAAAACAAAAGCCTGACATTGTGTGGACTAGAAGCATTCCTTGTCGGATTTAAAGATCAGTCTCTCTCTCTCTCTCTCTCGAACCGAAAACTACACCATATGTCTTCTTTAATCTTTACCCTCGTCCCTCGTGACCTTCCCCGCCACGTGCCTTTTACCTATTCGTTTTCTCATTTCTCTGTAGTAATCTCCAACGCCTCTAAACAATATCCACGTCGATTACTTTTTTTATTAAAATTTACAACTCTTATTCTAATCGTTGTTACTACTAATATCTACTAATTAATGTTGGGTTTATAGTCTCTAATAAATGTCACTGATCGCTATGAAAGAATGCTACGGAAAATGTATTGTTGATTCACATGCATCGATTTAGTTTGACTTTCTCTTTTTCTTTAATTTTCTTCATTCATCATCCCTTTCCTTTAATTTACTCTTCCATTTATTAATGTGTTTTGTTTCCTCTTCGTTCCCCCATTGCCGTTTCATTGACAGCCTTGTAATTTGTACTACTTCCATATTGCAATTTCAACTTCAACTTCTTTTGACCATTTTATTTTTCTTTACCCATAAACATGGAGTGACGTTTTACCGGTGATCATGACTTATTTCATCTTGACTAGTACTATAATTTTATCTTTTAGCAATCTGTTTATCCAAAATTATCCTCTCCTTTTTTAAGTATAAAACTTTTTTTTTTTTTAAGTATAAAACAAAACTATTGTTGTATCTCCTCCTGATATGGTTAAATTACTTTGTTTTAGGCGAGTGACAATTGTATGCATGACAGACACTAACCATTATAAAACAGTCAAACTTTTTTATCAATTTTGGGTGTAACATTAAAATTTTATGAAACATATATCTCTCTCTCTCTATAGAAATATAAAAGAATGAAGAACTCGATCTAATAAGAATACATCCCTAATTAATCTAATCCATTCACGATTGGTATGTATGACCATATATAGTCATTACGATTTAAGGAGTGGTATTGGGCTCGTGTTTGTCGGAGGCACGGCCACACAACAAAGCATTCTTAGGCAATAGGTATTCATCTCTGAGAGAGTGAGCTGGAGAATAAACTCGGAGGTACAACTGTTGACCTAAGTATTGCCTCGCCCAGTATTCACTCCTTAAGTTCCACATCCCCACATTGTCCAGTGCCACATATACTGCTGTCCAAGATTCTGGATACACCTATATATATACAAACCATTCCGTTGTTGAGATGATGATGCTATGTCTTTACTAGCTCTTTTATCTGTATATGTATTTGGTTTGGGAAAGAGAGATATGTAGAAAGTTATTAATTGTACCTGAGTAGTGGACCGAGACACAGCATCCCTCAGATTATACTCTCGCCTACTCGCTTTTGACCATGCTCCTCTATCCATCCTGTGGACAATATATATATATACTCACAAACATCAGAGATACGTACAATGCAATGCTTTATTACTATATTATAAGAGGGTGATTAATTAGCTAACTTCTCACCCGACAACCCAGAAGCTGTATCCATCGAGGTGGTAACTTTGGACGATCTTCTCGCGGTTTTGAAATACGATTTCAAGGAAGTCCCTATGGCGTGCTCCCATCACTGACGTGTCCATTCTCATCCCTACCCCTCTTCTCGGCTTGTCAGGGATGCTTCCCACTTTGAATACGCCTTTTATCTTAAAGTAATCCGCAAGCTTAAGCGGGGTATCTGCAGCTACGAACGACACCCCGTTTATGGCGTAGCGTTGCTTCCTATGCACACGTGCCGCTGAGCTTTCCAATATTAAAGTCCTAGATATTTTGATTCGACCATAGTGGTACGATCCCTGAGGGTTAGGCCTTGGCCCAGACGCAGTTAGATTTGTTCTAATGGACCGGGCCTGTTTGATAGACCAATCTAGTTCATCGGTAGGTGGTGGTTCAACGTGGACGGAAGCTGATGAGAGGGTTTTTCTTGAGTTAAAGTAGTGGATCGTGGATGAGACCAAGAGTTTTTTTGCGACAAATTTTGTGGAGACGACAATGCCATAGTCTTGGGCAGGCTGGTCCATGGTGACCAAGACGGAGTAAGACTGTCCAACGTGAATGTCGAGTGAGGTATACATGGACTGGACTGTATGGGTTCCCTCAACCTCGACGAGCTTCATCTGATGACCTTGTATTCTAAAATTCAGAGTGTTTTGAAGCCCTACGTTCGATATTCTGAATCTGTATGTTTTACCTACATAAATTATATTGTTCCACAAAAAGATTTATCTATGAGATAATTACGTCTTCGTAACTAAATTATTGAACGTATGAAGATTTTGCAAAGACGAACCTTTGTGGACGGTGAGAGAAGAAGAAAAACTGACTCCTTGGCCATTGATCAAAACCCCTTGAGGCAAAGGTAGCTTGTGTCCTCTATCCAAAAGTGCCTTCAAAGTCTGAATGTGCGTTTAATTAGTACGTTATATATATTGTCCTAATCAATCAAACATATATATATATATATATATATATATATATATATAAAGAATTAGTTAATCAAATAGAAAAGTACCTTGTGGTCACGTTCAAACCAGTCGCTGACTAGGAAGGTAAAGTCTCCAGCGGGTTCAGGAAAAGGGACGGGGATGCGAGGACGGCTGAGAATACGGAAACCGCCGAAACCACCGACAGCTTTGTGGACGGCAAGGGAGGGGAAGTAGAAGAAACTACCGATCTGGTCTTTGACTTGGATGGCATAAGTGTAGTTTTTGCCCGGTGGGATTGGACAAGTCGTCCCATACACCCCATCTTGGTAAGAATTCTTCCTCAGTTGCACACCGTTCCTTCATTATTACGTATTAACCATTTTGTGTTTTAGTAATTATATTATCATTGACATTTATAACTAACGTGATGAAAACTTGACGTGTTCACTAATAATGCCTAACAAATTAAATAATATCGTGACGTAACAACACTAGTGCATGCAAATTGGCTCCCTCATCATGCCAATTACCAACACTAGTATAGTTGTCTGTCTCATTCACAAATATATTTTTTTTTTTTTTTAAATTGTGCTGTAAGAAAAGTGGAAACTAAAAAGAAAGGGAAATCTAGAGATGGGTACCAAGATAAGAGAAAGGGCTCGTCGAGATCGTTGTGAACGTTGATGATCAAATTGTCATTGGTGACAGAGTAAATATCGGGTCCTGGATATTGTCCATTTATCAGGATTCCCTGCGTACGCGCATGGTCATAAAATATAATCAAGCATGCATGATCGATCAAACAGAAACACACGAAACTAAAGAAGCCATTAATATTATATTCTGTAAAGTTGATCTTTGGAAAGAAAAAAAAAAGAGAGAAGAAATAATGTACCCTAAGAGGAATGCCAAGTGGAGAAATGGTGCCGTAAGTGACCCTCCAGTCGAAAAAACGGTAGGGATCTTCAGCTTGAACAAAAGAAATGAGCATCGTGGCCATTATAGTCATCATCATAGTCCAGACGCCACCGTTTATCCACCACCCCGCCATATCCCTGCTTATATATCAACTTGATAACGAGGAGCAGGAGAAGAAGCTGGAAGATGAAAGTAGAAAGCTTCAAATTTGTAGTAACGGAAGAAATGACTCGGTGACGTATTTAAAGTGCAAAGGGGGAAGGAAGCTTTCCAATCCAGCTGATTCCGTGTTTTATTCAACCATGTAATATAAGTATATATAAGACCCCCCACCGACTCAGTAATTATACATACATCAAACCCATTAAGGGCTGTGATTGAACGCGTATGAGTTTTTTTTTATGAAACAATTAAATGGACTATATATATATATTAGTATTAGGATGCATGCATAATATATGTATGTTGCAATTAAATAGTTCACAAAAATACGACTTTTATCTTAAAATAGTTAAGAAGAAGAGTTGTGGGATTGGAGCTAGCTAGAAACAGACAAAAAATTTAAATTGGGAGTACATACGATTAAAGCGCGTAACGCAAATGTTGATGAAGAAGATATTGCTGAGTTGGATTGGGGTTGGCGGCGCCGAAAATTCTTACTCTCTATAGATTAAGGCCTTGAATGGTGTAGCAGATGGTACGCAAAACGGGTGAACTGCTTTTTTTTCACCATTCACCACTATTTTATATTTAAACTAATTTTTTAAAAAAATAAATAAAAATTAAATTTGATCTGCCTGCAGATCATAATTACAAAGGAAAAGTAATGATCTGCTAACACTTCATTTTTTATGCGTATCATGTCTGAACTGCCTTTTTTATTTAATATTTTATTAAATAAATAATGCTGTAATAATAAACACATAAATATATATATATATATATATATATATATATTTAATATACCACTCTAAAAATTATTTGTTAAAAATTCAAATAAAACAACTTAAATTCATAAAATTAATATATACTGTTTAAATCACAAAGTTTTCATAATAAATAATTCAAAGTTTTCTTACAATTGTTAGTTTAACTATATTTTTTTGCTCCACTATTCTAAGTTTTCTTATAAATATTTCTTTAAAGATTTTTTTATTTATTTATCATAGTTTACTAATTTAATGCATCACAAATATTGTACTTATTAATTTTATTTTCATGATTATTATACACCACGTATGTTGTAACATAATGTTATTATATTATATGTTGTAAATATTAGTTTTAATTTAACCCATCTCAAAAATTCTCTTAAATTAATAACATTAAATGTTTACAAATTTACAATATAAAATTCAAAATAAAGTAATTTCTCATCATTATTATAAAATTCAATAAAATCAATATTTTTAATCTACACCTATTTTTCTATAGTTATTGTTGACAAAAAAAAAATCTACACCTATTTGATTGGTTTTCACCATTTAATTATATTTTGTAGCGGTCAAACCACTTGATCTGCATTTGTACCGCCAAATCTGCTTGATCTGCTTCTGTTCTGCTTGATCTTCTTGAACCGCTTGATCTGCACTGCTTGATATGCTTTCTCCATTCGAAGCCTAATTAACACTTTAATGTATACATCAGTTCAGTATATATTTCATTTAGCACAAGTCAACATCTATATATATATATATATATATAAAATAAGATGTCAAAAACCAAAAAATATTGTCCGCAGGTATATAATATATATATATATATATATATATATTTCTGTGAGTGCCTGATTGGTCCGTGAATTTGATGTTTGGTTTAGTGACTTCATTTAACATTAGTAGTATTACTTAATTTTTTTTGCAGGGATTTAAAATGAAATGAAGGTAACCAACTGCAACAACGCTATTACCCCCAACAGCTGGAAACACAGACTGTCTTCTTTCCCGTGAGAGACGTCTCTCTCTCTCTCTCTCTCTCTCTCTTTTTCTTCACTTTCAGACTAAAACTCTCAACAAGTCTCAGACTCTCCGTGTCTGCTCCTTTCCTTTCACCTTTTCCCTTTCTTTCTCTTTTTCTCTGTGATATCTAATGGGCCGTTTTGGGCCCTTTATTCTTTCCCCAGTCCAAACTTACGAACCCACAACAAATCCTAAGCGTTTCTTGCTCATAAAGCAAAGCATGACTCCATTAGTTTCTTTCTTTATTTTTTTTATTTTACATCAAACATGAGTTTCATGATTACAAGTACTTCCAACAAAAATATCTCTTATTATATAGAATAAACGAAACCTATATATATATGCTCTGGACTCTGGAGAAACGAAACCTACAGCATGCCGTTTACAATTTGTACAAAGTGAGAGATGAAAAAATAAAAAAGTATATATATATATATATATATATATATATATGTATTTTAGGGTTTCAATTTTTACAACTCCCATGTTCTAATATGAGTTCTTTAAGATTTAAGAGTTTTCAAATAGAAAGTTTGGCATTGCACTAACATGACAAGGTGGACAATACAAGAAGATGATAAAGCAAGTACGTGAAAGCGAGACTAATAAAGGGTATCATAACTAGGTTTCCTTCTTTTTCTCATCCTCATCGGTATGACCAGGAAGCTTCTCTTTGATCTTGTCCATCAACCCTTTCTCCTTGGCGTTTTCATGATGAGGTTCAAGTTCGGGCTTCCCATGGTGACCTCCGGGAAGCTTATCTTTTACCTTCTCCATGAACCCTTTCTCCTTCCCGTCCTCATGTTCAGGCTTGGCTTGGTCATGATGACCTATACCTGCAGGAAGTTTCTCCTTGATCTTCTCCATGATGCCTTTCTTCTCCTCTGTTTCACATTGATCTGCAGCATCTTCCTTCTTCTTCTTCTTCTCCCCATTTACACCAGCTTCCTCATCACTTGACTGCATACATATTACATCCTCGATTAACAAGTGTCATTAAAAACATTTCTCATGCAGCTAATAAATTAATGTGTATATAATCAAGCTTACAGAGCTGTCGGAAAGGTGGAGTCTTTCAGCGAGAGAAGGCCTCTCCTCTTCATTGTTTTCCTTGGTCACACCGACACACTCGGAAGGATGTGCATCTTCGGGTTTTTTCTTGAGAAAGTCAAACATCCCACAGCCTTTGGAAGCTGCAGCATCAGCTTCCTGCTGCTCACTAGAACGAGTATGATCCGCCATCGTTTAGGAAAACGCAAACAAGTTGAAGTATTCAACACTCACTTTTTAATTGCCAACAGGACTTTATGCTTTGCAAGATGTAAGAACTGATGAGTTACACAAAGCCCTGCGATACTGTTTTTATAGTAGCTCAAGCTTTTCTTTTCTGTTTATTTAATTGCAAGTTATTTTTTTAGTAATTTAACACTAGATTCGTGTTTAGCCCAAGGTATTGCCGGAAAATTGTACTAACTAGTCTATATTCTAAAGACCAAAGGGGAACAAGTTTTTTTTTTTGTTGGAAAGTAAAAAAATAAACATAGTACATGTCCGAATACTTTGCGTTCCGCCGACCAATGGGATATAGTCGGTGTGGACGGTCCACGCTATCCAATGAAGAGAGCAAAAGCAGTGTTGAAATTTAAATTAATGTTTGGGTTGCATGATAATTAGAAAATTAAGCTTGAATATGAGTGTTAATTGAATGGGCCTAATCAGACGATGGGCTTAGATAAACAAAGGGCATTAGAGGGATAGGATTGGGTTAAATTTCATGGTTTTGGTCATGGTTTTGGTCTTGGTCATGCTCTCTCGTCATTGTCATTGAACTCCTTTACCGCCTCACTCACCACTTAAAAAAGAAGATATACTCTTGGACTCCTTTACTAGAGAGAGTCTAGACATTAGCCTACCATCTTGATATGCATCATTAAAAGAAATCAGTAGTTGGTGTAGAATCTTAGACAGATCAACATAATCTAGAAATAGAAAGAAAAGAAAAAAGAGAGGAGAGGGAGGAGTATGAAGATATCTTCACATTAGTAGTAATCTGTAATCACAGGGATGTTTATTGATTACGAGCCCGTTGAATATTGAATGTTTGATATACGAGTGAAATCAACATGTGAACAAACAAGCGTTTGACATGTCCGATAAGAACAAGAATACGAGTAAATAAATCACTAATTATCTATGATGTGGTAAGGATACATTCACCGAATTGTTAGCAGAAGAGAGAAAGATACATAAAACAACAATTTAAGCACATATAGAAGAAAACAAGCGGCGAGATTTTAATTGGTTAAGTATAGGTTGAAAAAAAAAAACAAGAGTAGTTTATAGTTAAACGAAGAGAGGAGACCGACTCGACCGACATGTACAAGGCCCGAGGGGGGCACAGCTGTGATGCAGAGAGTCGGTGCAGTGCCACGTCGTCCATCCACCACCGTATTGGACTATTGGGGGTAGCGTACCCCTCTCTCTCTCTCTCTCTCTCTTACTTGGAATTAGGATATACTCTAGTATACTACACTATATAACAGTTTATTATAAGTTCCTGGTCACGACAACTCCCCAAGTCATTGAACTCAACCCAATCAAAAAAAAAATATATGTCAATGTCGCATATGAGAGTCGTAAACACACGTACTTGAGGCAGCTGCTTCTATCTATGACGTGACGTGTGTCTGGATGTTACACTGATCTGGCACCCGTTATTATTAATTCTCTTCATAACTAAAAAAGATGGGATATTTAGGAGTGATGAGTATTTATTCACTCTCTTTCCATTGCAAATCCCCCCAACTCATTACTCTCTCATCAGTCTTATACTTGTATTGCTTCAATCTCTCTCGAGACACAAAATAAACAAAGAAAATGGGAGGCATTCTCTTCCTCATCTTCTTCCTCCTCTCCTCATCTTCAGACGCCTGCGACCGATGTCTTCACCACTCTAAGGCATCTTTTTTCTCCTCTGCCCCTGCTCTCTCTTGTAACCATTCCTTCTCTTCATTACTTCTTTCCTTTTTTTTCTCTTTCTTTTCAACTTTTAACTTGTTTCTTTCCTCATTTCAGCCGGAGCTTGTGCCTATGGCTCTTTGGCTACTAGTTTCTTTGCCGGCCACATTGCGGCGGCACTTCCTTCCATCTACAAAGACGGCGCCGGCTGCGGAGCTTGCTTCCAGGTCAGATGCAAGAACCCCGCTCTTTGCAGCAGCAAAGGAACCACCGTGATCGTCACAGACCTCAGCAACACCAACCGAACCGATCTTGTCCTCAGCACCAGGGCCTTCAGGGCAATGGCTAAGCCCGTTCTTGGCGCCGACAGAGATCTTCTCAAACAAGGTATTGTCGACATTGAATACCAGAGGTTCGTGATTCCCTAACTTTCCTTGCTTCACTTTAACTAGTAACTTGTAGTTATAACAAGAACTGAACATGAAACAGAGTTCCTTGCGATTACGGGAACAAGAAGATGAACGTGAGAGTGGAAGAGTCAAGCAAAAATCCAAACTACTTGGCCATAAAGCTGTTGTACCAAGGAGGCCAAACCGAAGTGGTTGCCATCGACATTGCTCAAGTAGGTTCGTCACATTGGAGTTACATGAGCAGAAGCCACGGAGCAGTGTGGGTTGCTGCCAAAGTACCCGCCGGAGCTCTGCAGTTCAAGTTCGTGGTGACGGCAGGCTACGACGGCAAAATGGTTTGGTCGCAGCGGGTGGTTCTTCCGGCCAGCTGGGTAGCTGGGAAGACCTATGACGCCGGCGTTCAGATCACCGACATTGCTCAGGAAGGTTGTGATCCATGTGACGATCACATCTGGACCTGACTTACTACTCCAGGCGACCAAGACCTCTTAATTAATTGGGAGGAAGAACCAACAGGAATGCGTAATCGCAAGATTCTTGTGTAACAGACTTGTTTATTAACTGAGAGGAAGAACCAACAGGAATTCTATTATAAAGACAAGACTTAAACAAGAAAGCTAAGAAATAAAAATATATAAGGGAGTATGTGTGTATGTATGTACAAAAGGAAAGGTCTATATATATACACCATTCTTTCTAGCTGTAACCTTGCAACTTAACATTTATAAATTGTTTAAAAAAAAAAAAATCTGAATTGAAAATAATTCTGATTCGTTCGTGTATAAGAAAACAGGAGCTTAGTCTGAGAAGATCACTTCATCAGCTTTTGAATGATCCAAATCGCTTCTACCGGCTATGGGGACATTGCCAATGTCTGAGTACTCTGATGAGTTATGTTCATCTTCATTTAGATGTTTTGCTTTTGCTCTTACTCTTGCTTCTTCAGAGGTTCGACAAATGCAGGAGGCTGGGTTCTCATGGAACTCGCCCTCTCCCGGTTTCATTTCATCTGGTTCCCCCATGAAACCTTTCTGGTATCTTCTGACCTTGGATGAGAAATCATCCCATGTCATGTTTTTTCTGTTACTGAAGACTTGGTAGAGTTTCTTTGCGTTTGGACGGATGGTTACTTTGTGTCCCAGGTATCTCCTGCAAAACATACATGTGCATTAGAAAAGAGACTAGTGAAGTAAGTGATGCTTAAAGGCAATTGTTATACCTTCTTCCAGCTAAGATTCTAGCCATGTTTCCGTTGTTGTTGGTGACAAATGCGTCACTCTCATCACAGACAATGAAGTCAAGAGCAGCCATGCGTGATGAAAAGTTGGCAAACGGAGCCAGTTCTTTCTTGGAAGTCAATGTCTCTTTAGTATGGAGATTTGGAAAGAGATCTCTTAACGGTGCCAGTGTATCCTCCCCTCCGTATACTTCGCCTGATGCTACATACAAGTGAACCTCTTTCCCAAAGCCTAAGCCTCTGAGCATCAGACCAATCTCCTCTGGCGTCAGGGGACATCTCCCGTGCCGCCGTACCTTTTCAGGGTTGGCCGCCTGCAAATTGCAACAAGTACCCAAATGAGTTAATTAATTAACAAGAGTTGATACTAGATCTTACAACTATATATGATATTCAAACTAAGCATACTATATAGATATAGATTCTCACATGTAACGTTTTCCACCTTCTTCTCATAGCTCCGAGTTCGAGTCTCTCTTTCTGACCTCCGCCATAATAGCATCCGGAGAAGGCCAACATATCAGGTTCGAACCTAACAACCAACATGCACATCTGTTAGCCTTATGCTTAGAAGTGCTACGAAGATAGAGGAGGGATTGGTATGTGTACCTGAGATGAAGGGCAACGAAATGTTTGGCTTTGTTTCTCATCCGGTCAACCAGCAATTGACCCATCCTGTTGATAGACTCTGTATATCTCACCGCATGGTAGTTCACTCTACACCTCAGCTTCTGGAGTTCTGTATCCAGAGCGTTGGACAACCTATAATCGAATTTGGAGAGTTGAACAACCTGCGCATCGAGATTGCAGCAGATGAGCATACTTGTATATATGATCATGACACGAAGCCACAAGTTAGTTTGGAGGATAGCTGACATGTTTCTTATTAAGTATGGGCAGAACACGCTGTAGGTAGCAAGAGGGTGTGCACTTCCTTGGGACACGTATGGACTGTAGGCTGCTGGATATTTTTGACTGCTCTTCTTTAGGAAGCTCCTTGACGATCTTCACGTCTTTGGAGAGATGAGAAATGAACCAATCAATGTCAAATATCTCCTCAAAGTTGCTGCACCACAGACGAAGCTGTGTTAATTAGAACCAACCAATCGAACATCAAATGGGAACATGGAGAGGGTGGCACCACACCTGGTGTCCTTCCAATACGATTTCTGGTCAAGCTTAGGGACCACAAGAGTGGCGTTGAGAATGTAAGCCGCAACTACAGCATCTATTATCTACAGTAGCAGAAGGGAACCAAAATGCTTCAGAAAGAAACCCCCATCTCAATAAGCATAATAGCAAGACTACCATATATGTATATATATATATATATATGTGATGTGGTTCGCAAGGATCTCACCCCTGTTCGCTGCTGGTTCAGCCCTCCGCTTGTAGCGATCAGTAAATATCGATTGGTTTGTGTTCTCTCATCCGTAACTGTCACCGTTTTGAATAATTACCAAACCAAATCAATTGCTACAAAGGAGAGTCTTTCGTTTATAGTAATATATATGTAGAGGGCAAATGGATCGAACCTTTACCTTGAAAGGAGTCAGTGGCATTGCTGCATGCATAGTAGAAGTTGGACAATCTCGAGCTCCATAACTTGCGATCGGAGGTTCCGCCATTTTCCTAAAACACACAGTCCATGATAATGAATGAGATAGGTCTTGGAAATGTGAAGACTTTTACGTAAATGGATAAGGAGATTGCGTACGGGTACACGGAAGGGAGTGGCTTGATGTGGATTGGGTTCCAGAGACACTAGATGGTTTGGATGGATCAAGGGAGGAGGAGAAAGGATGGAAAATGAGAAGAGGAGGAGGAGGAGACAGCCGGAGACGGCAGAGACCAGAGGAAAAAGACGGTGACGGCGACGAAGGAGAAGTAGCAACTGGTGGCGAATTCCGGCGATGACCAGCTTTCTCTTGTCGGGTTCAGCTCCATAATCTCTTTTCTTCAACTTCAAAGACGACGACATCGTATTAATGCAGCATACAAAGGAGAAGAAGGAATGAAAGAGGCTAGGCTACAAAGAATAGGAAGAAAACAAGAGAAATGGGAAGGAGAGAGTGCAAAAGGAGGATGAGGATGAAGAAGAAGTCATTTCTTGATGACGAGAGAGAGAGAAGTTGGTTGCCGAGAAATGATCAGACATAGTCCAAACTAATCTCAAAACTAAACCAAACCCCCTCCCTCTCCACGACTTCTGTTTTGAGTTTGGTTTTTTTTCTTCTTATATGTCTCAGCAACCACACCACACCAACACCGAATCCCTTCCAAACTTATATTTATTACCTTGTTAAATTATCTCGAATTAGCTGTTTTAGATTCTTATCTTAAATAAATATTGTTGAACTCGTCTAAAATAGTTGTTTTTTTTTTGCCTTGGAGTTTTGTTCGGTTTCCATAAACAAATTTATCCTATCTAAGATTTTTTAAAGATGCCAACTCGTGCGTGTTATTAGAATTGTTGAATGGGTTTCCTTGACAGCGAAATTGTTGAATGGGTTTTATAAAAAATAAAAAAAAGGTTTATCGTTCTAAAAAAGCTAATATTAGAAAGCTCTGTTTTGAGTTCCGATACCCCGAACATCGACGACGACTGTAAGAGAGAGAAAGAAAAAACTCAACAAACGTGCCGATATTAGTGGGCCTTACTGGGCTTATATTTTAGAGAAGCAAAAGGCCCATCTACCAATTAGTCTCCGTCTTCTTCTCCAAACAAAAACCGCCTTAGCTCTCCCTGCAACTGCAACGGTTAAACCCCTCAATTGATTCAGCCCTCCTCCTCTCCCTCTCTGCCTCGACGATCTCTCTACCGCACCGCTCCTCTTTCCTGATTCCGTAAGTTTCCCCTTTTTTTTTTTTTTTTTGGTTTTGGAGTTTCCGACTCTTTTCTTATGGCTAACCCACCAGCAGTATCATCGTCTTCTCGGCTTTCTCTGTCGCTTGTTTGTTTTTTTTCTTTTCAGTATCGTCTCTTTTTCTTCTCATCCTAGAGTCATCCAATTTGCTTGCTCTGTGTAACCGGAATTTAGGTCAGTCATCATCATAGTAAAGTATCTCTAGTGGAATTGGGCAGTGATGGAGTCCAGTAGAGTAGTGGCTGGGAAGCAAGTCTCGCTGCCCTGGAACAGCAGGTTGGCCAAAGTGAAAAGACTAAGACTAGGCAATTTTCGGATGAGTCAAGTCTCTGGCCCCCAAAACTGCTCCCTTCATACCAATCCAAACCCCACGTTTCCTTTTGCTACTCGTCGGAAGAGCCAGATCAACCCTGACTGCGGCGTTGAATCTCCCTTTGCCAACTTGGAGCACAAAGATCTCTCTTCCGGTTCACTGGAAAAACTCCCGTAAGGCTGTTGAGGTGTTGCGTTATCCCTTTTGATACTCTTTCGTATGTTAGCTGCGCCCTTCTTGCCTTTGTAGATGTTTTTATCTCCCTCCTTGCTAGGGAGGACACTGTTGAAGCACGTCCTGTTGACATCAAACGAGAACTCGTGATGCTCTCTCTTCCGGCCATTGCTGGACAGGCCATTGATCCTTTGACGCTGCTCATGGAGACTGCATACATTGGAAGGCTCGGTATTTTTCCTTTGCTTCTCCATACTTTGAAGAGCTAGTTTTTAGACTTCTAAGGCCTCCCTTCTTTCTATTCTGCAGGATCTGTAGAGTTGGGTTCCGCTGCCGTCTCCATGTCCATCTTCAATACCATTTCAAAGCTCTTCAACATTCCACTCCTCAGCGTTGCCACTTCTTTTGTCGCTGAAGACATTGCAAAGACTGCCGCACAAGATTTAGCCTCAGGTTAACCTAACAAATAGCTTTCTTCTCTTGTCATTTTTTTTTCCAGCCTTATCTCTCTATTTTATTGGATTTCAAAAGATATTCATAGTGACATACCTTCTCCAGGTTTACCAGAAAGGAAACAGTTTTCTTCAGTGTCCACAGCGCTAGTGCTAGCCATTGGAATTGGCATATTCGAGGCACTCGCTTTGTCTTTCGCATCTGGACCCTTTTTAAGGTTAATGGGTGTTCAATCTGTAAGTTCAGTCCAGTTAGAGCTTATTGTCATCTATGCCTTCCGAAATTTTGGAGACACCTATTCTGTGGCGTTTATGTTTTCTGTCTTTTATACCTGACACCCAGGTTTCAGAAATGTTCATCCCTGCGCGGCAGTTTCTTGTCCTTAGGGCGCTTGGTGCTCCTGCTTATGTGGTTTCTTTAGCTCTTCAAGGCATTTTTCGTGGATTTAAGGATACAAAAACTCCAGTCTACTGTTTAGGTTAGCATTCTTTGAGATCTTTTGACATAGTCCAAGTATATTCAATGATTTTGGTATTTCTTGTTTCCATCGGTTCATTCATTCTCTAATTTCCATAACGCAGGCGTTGGTAATTTTCTAGCTGTATTTCTATTCCCTCTGTTTATATACAAGTTCAGGATGGGTGTAGCAGGGGCAGCAATATCTAGCGTTATCTCCCAGTATGTATCTAAGATCTTTCTTCTTTTCCAGTTTTCCCCCTTTCGTCAAACTTGTAGGATGGTGCTTAACCTCTTTCCTCTGATCCATAGGTACATTGTTGCCATTTCAATGCTTATACTCTTGAACAAAAGAGTTATACTGCTTCCTCCAAAGATGGGGTCACTAAAGTTCGGCGATTACCTAAAATCAGGTATGTGGACAATGGTTTCTAACTTATGGGTTTTATGGATGTAAGTATTGTATTGATTTATCTAGGTTTAAAACCTTGACTTGAATTATAGGGGGATTTGTTCTTGGAAGGACTCTGTCTGTGCTCATGACCATGACCGTTGCCACATCAATGGCAGCTCGTCAGGGAGTTTTTGCAATGGCAGCACATCAGATATGCATGCAAGTGTGGTTGGCGGTATCTCTACTTACTGATGCACTAGCTTCATCTGGACAGGTATTAGTTTCTCAGCTTGGTTTTCCTACCTAGAGGTTTTGGCTCTATAACTTTCTTCATCTGTTTGGTATCAAATGGGACTAAGAAATGCACTGAGATAATTGCTAGAGATGGTGTTAAGCCTCGTGTCTTGTTGATCAGGCCTTGATCGCAAGTTCTGCATCCAAAAGAGACTTTGAAGGTGTGAAAGAGGTTACGACTTATGTTCTGAAGGTCTGATCCCACATCCCTTTTCGTAGTTCATATTCAGTTACTTCCATTAATATAAGGAAAAATGAATTATATTTACCTTGAGGAAGTTGGCGAGAAAGGACGAATTTGTAGAAATGCCTTAGCTAAGACATAGGGTAAGTTGAAGGGAAAATGTTTACTCTCTTAATCATGAAGGTGGTGCACAAAAGAAGTGGATTTTTATCTTGTTGGGGATGCTGATTGATCTCTGGTTGTAGAGAGGGATGTAACGTGTTTTAGTGTTGTACAGATAGGAGTGGTGACAGGGTTTGGACTGGCTATTTTGTTGGGGATGTCGTTCAGTTCAATAGCTGGTTTATTTTCCAAAGACCCTGAAGTTCTGCGGATTGTGAGAAAGGGAGTATTGGTAAGTGATGTAATTACCTAAAGTGGGTGAGGGGTTTGATGGACCGTCTCCCATTTACTCACGTAACATGCATATACAGTTTGTAGCGGCAACCCAACCAATGACAGCTCTGGCGTTCATCTTTGATGGACTGCACTATGGGATATCGGACTTCCCCTACGCAGCTTGCTCAATGGTAAGTAAGAGAGAAGTCCTCCTTGTTAAAAGATAAGATATCATAAGCTGAGGTGGAAGGATTTGTGTGTGTGTGTGTGTCAGATGGTGGTGGGAGGAATATCATCAGGGTTCATGCTGTATGCATCGGCAGGGTTAGGGCTAAGTGGAGTGTGGGTGGGGCTGAGTATGTTCATGGGATTGCGGATGGTGGCTGGATTCAGCAGGTAAAGAAAAAGCTTGAACTATTATATATAGGGAGACAAGTAGAATAAAATGTGTAGTAGCTTATTTTTTTGGTAGTGGTGGTAGAAATAAAACTCAAATATGTGTGTGTTGTGTTTTGATTGGTGAATGGTAAAGATTAATGTGGAGGAAGGGTCCATGGTGGTTCATGCACACAAGTGACAAGGTGAGAGAGCCTATTCTTTTGTTCATTGTGTTTTTAATTTGCGTGCAAAGCTTTTCTTGTTAACTCTGTTTGTTTCGTATGTGTATATGGCAGCGTCTAGCTTAAAAAAAAAAGGCTTTTAAAGGGGAGAGAGAGAGAGAGACGTGGCAGTCTTCAGGCTTTGTCAAACTGAACTACGTAGTACACATTTGTACTTATTAGCTTCGTTTTTTTCGATCTCGTTTATTTACTGGTAATCAAATATAAAATATAATAATCCTGTAAGTAGTTCTGCGAAAAAAAGCCTAAAAGGTATCCAAAATCTGTCAAGTGGATTTTTTTTTTATAAATAAGAGATAGTGAATAACTTTACATAAATTTCAAGTTCAATAGCATGAAATTTGGAAAGAGATTTTAAAATCACAAACTAAATAACATATGATTTGGAAATAAAAACTAAAATCCTTATTTTATACATCTCCTTAGTAATATTTTTTTTATTAAGGGTAAGAAAATTTATCAGTTGGAAAAATAGGGATTAGAAAGAAATTACTCAAATTAGTGCGAGTCTCGAAGATAAAGAGATAAGACAAAAAGAAAAGATAAAAGAGACAGCCAGTCAAAACCTTAGACATTAATGATTTCAGATTTCTGATAAGAAGAAAGTAAAAATTAGTGGATGGTTATAAATAGGTTAAAGTGACGCTGGGGAAAAAAGAGAGAAAGAGAGAGAAATGGATTCGCTAGTAGGGAAGAACAGGTATTGGGTGCTCCGCCACGGCAAGAGCATTCCCAACGAGAGAGGCCTCATCGTCTCTTCCATGGTTTCTCTCCTCTTTTTCTTTCGTTATGCTCTTCTTCTTCTTTCTTCTTCATCCATCCACTTACTCTACTTGATCATATTTATGGAATTTGTAGGAACATGGTGTGCTCCCCGAGTTCCAGTTAGCGCCTGACGGTGTCGATCAGGCTCGTCTCGCCGGCGAATTGTTCCTCCAGGTTCTCTTTCTTTCAAAAAAAGATAGTTTTTTGGAATCTCAAAAACTTTATTATAGTCTGTCATAATATGATGATCAAAACTCTCTGCGTGCAGCAACTCAAGGAAAATAACATAGAACTGGACAAGGTCCGCATTTGCTACTCTCCCTTCTCCAGAACCACTCACACCGCTAGGGTTGTTGCTGAGGTCCTCAATCTCCCCTTTGATTCTCCTCAATGCAAGGTTTGTATAATACCTGATACTCTCCCTACAGAACTATTTGTTATTGCATACCTCCTACTCTGCAACTACTACTACTACTGCTATATTTCCACAAAACTAGTGTATTGTATGCTTTTCTCAAAGTTGAATTGCTGAGGCAGATGATTGAAGATTTGCGAGAACGCTATTTTGGACCTACATTTGAACTCAAGTCACATGACAAGGTTCCTCCTTATTATTTTTATTTCTTTTTCTTATATTTACTTCCCTATCTACTAGCAAGGAAACCGTTCTCAAGCTTTTTCTTTTCTTCTGGTTGCCGCAGTACCCAGAGATATGGGCTCTTGATGAGAAAGATCCATTCATGAAACCAGAAGGAGGTGAGAGTGCTGCTGATGTTGTTTCCAGACTTGCCACTGCCATGGAATCCATGGAAGCTGATTATCAAAGGTAAAATAATGCCCTACCTACCACCCCATTTTCTTCTGCATCCATTCCAACTGATACCTTAATAAGACATATATTCCTGTAGTTGTGCAATTCTGGTGGTCAGTCATGGAGATCCTCTGCAGATGCTACAGAACGTCTTCCATTCAGCAAAGCTACAGAAAGGAGATGATGGTCTGGCTCAGAGGATTCAGATGAGCAGAGTTGCTTCTGTTTTGTCTCAGCACCGCAAGTTTGCTTTGCTCACTGGGGAACTCCGCCCTCTCATCTGATCTGACAGGGCTATAAAACTATTCAAAACTATTCAAAACTATTCTTTATTGCTATAAAACTATTCAAACTTTTTGGCATGTCTGTTTCCTGCAACTCAGTCTTGTTATTGCTATTGCTTAACATGGGAATAACATATTATTTCGTTTCAAAGACAGAGCCAACATGAATTTTTTTACTCTTCTCTAGTAAAGAAATCATGCTCATTTATGTTAAGTATCTTCAAATCTGTACACAAATATTCAATATTAACGGCTTCTAGGTGATCAACCTCTTCTCACAAACACCTGCGCTTTGAGGACAAAATTGTGGAACAAACTTTTCCAAAGATAATTTTTACTAATCTTTGGTGATCCATCTGCGGCCGCTTACCTCAAATCCACCATACGCTTGATCACTACTGCTCTCTCCCCCGCTCTCTGCGCTTGTATATCCTGATTTTCGTCTGTGCTTTTTGGTTCTTGTAAGTCCGCTATCACTAAAACTCCCATTTAGAAGAGGATCATCGATACCGCGAATCACTCTCCGACTCGAGGATGACATGCAACTATCGTCCTTAACTCTTCTCTTCTCCTTGTCATGTTTCTTTATGTTCTGGGAGATCTTGTGAAGTTTCTCATTGAACTTTGTGATGCTCTTTTCCATGGGCTCCACTGCTTGAGTCACTGTGAATCTCACGTCTTTAACAATCTACAACATATAGCTTCTTTTGATCAAACGCTATTCATCAGATAATCATTTCTTTGGATGGAACAATTAGATGACTCACATATTCACCACCACCAACGAAAACGTCTCTCATGCTTTCTTTGAGAGTCATACCACTTCTGATATCAACGTTAGGATGTGGTAGGCGGACCTTTGTTGGTCTCTCACTGTCCCTAATCTCATCTGGATCAATAGGACAATCGACAGATGCATAGTCACCAAGAACCGAAACAGATCCTGTAAAGCGGTCTCCCATTAGACTGTAAGGTTTTGCTGGGAATACATACAGGTGAACAACGGAAGCAATACCCATCTGCACTGGACAAACATAAGTGTTAAAAGCTTTAATTTATTTCAAGAAAGGAAAACAGAGAAGACTCAATAGATTGTTGTAAGGGAAGCAACGAAGAAGAAAAAGTTTTGTACTTGTACACAAAGGTCTCACAGATGTTAAATCTTTTCCAGGAACGTAGCTAACAGAAGATATTTACCTCTATGCAAATGATGAAATCCTGTACACTAGTCTTCAACTGCAAGCTTTGTGCAATTGAACTTTTGAACAAACCGAGGGAAGAGAGAAGAGCAATGGCAACACCTTGCCACCAAGTGAGAAACACAATCGACTTGAATGTTAGAAATTTGGCCAGCGGCTTTATGTGCGCAAGCTCATCTTTCGTAGCACCATAGAACTGAACCAGGCAGTATAATGCCCATGACTGACTAAAATTTAGAACCACTGCCAAATAAGGGTACCTACAAAAAAAATGCATAGGCAAAACAGTAAGATGGCATATTGGTCATAGTTCATCATAGATAGAACTGACTCTTGTTTATTAAGGCTCAATTATTATGTTAGCAATGTCCTTATCAAAGTTGCCTCAACGTACCCACATCCCCATTTAAACTCTCCTTCACAATACACACCAAAGGCTTCAAGAATCAGAGCTGTGAGAGCAGTTAGAGACTTTATGATCATCTGCCAAAGGAAAGAAATAGTTTACTTCTACTTTGAAGAAAAGAATTTTGGAGCAAGAGAAACAAGAAACATTAGTGGGAAACATACATATTGAACAATACCAAACTTAACAACTTGATAAAACCAGTGACTGAGTCTCCACGGTTTTAAGAATAAATTCATAGGAAAAGGATGTTTGATTGTTCCCTTTTCATCATTGTGATCTAACAGCGGCGTCTTAAAGCTCTTACGTCCTTGCCTTTCCATAAACTCGATAGTCCTTTCTTCCCCACCTGATAAATGAAGTCAGGAAATAGCATGAAGAGAGAGAATCAAGTAAGAAGAAAAGCACAAGTGGAAAAGGAACTAATTTCACATTTGTGCGATTATCCCTGTTTCCAAAAGAATCATAATATGAACATCAAGACACGACAAGGTTTCAAATAAGAGAGGAATGAATGAAAAAGGTCATACCTATGCAGGCAACGAGGTATCTACCAAAACAGTACATGGCAAAGGATTCATAGCAGTCTCGTAGAATCCCACAATCAACACTGATGGATGGTTTGACAAGTGATGCAAACTGTTGAAACAACGAGGATCAGAATAGTTTGAAGCGTAAACAGAGTTAGATAAAAGAAAAGAAAGAGTTACTCACGGACTCAATAGAATAGCAAGGGACCATGAGGATGACTCCAATCAAAAACTTTTGCTCCTGAGAGAGAGAGAGAGAGAGGGGAAGCGTGAGAAAGGTAAACAAAAGGATAGAAAGGCAGGGAACATGGAAGAGACAAACCTCAGGGTTCTTGTAAGTAGAAAGGTGATCGAAGACTAAAAACAAGGAAAGGGAGAGCGTGAGAACCAAAAAGGCACCGGCCATGAAGCTTGCCCACGCAGGGGCCGAGTAAGCAAGGAGATGGTAATAATACTGTAATATATCCATCACGAATTTTTCCGAGTGATTAAACACTGGATCGGCGCCACATAAAAGAATGATCGGAGGAAGAAGAAAAGAGTCGAAAGGAGGAATTGGTTGCAGATCAGACGAGCTGGCGTCTGCGATGGAAATGGAATGGACGACCCTGACCCATCCGATCGGAGGATGACGAGACCAAGGGGAAGGCTGGAGGCAGATGCAAAAAGAAATAGAAATATCACCCTCTCTTTTGTTTCATCTTCTTTGCTTACTTCTTCAATGGTCAAAACACAAAACGGCAGGCATTGCTCTCTTTAAGCGTTAAAACGGCACGAAAGTAGATACTGCGACTGACTCATCGTCATCGTCTGCCTCGTGAGTCGTGTCTCTCTCTACTACACGACTCTATTATAGGAAGGGAGCTAGCTTTACTCACTCTCCAATCCAATTTTATTTTTTAAGATTGGTCACAATCCTCCCTCTCTCTGCTCTGCTCTGCTCTGCAACTGCAACTACGCCCAGACTAAACCCCAACTGCGAAAGATTGTGACAAACATGGCGATCCCTCTCAAGCTTCTCCTTTTACAGGCAAACTAATCGCTTTCTCTCTTCTCCTTTTTAGAGGCCTACTAGTTCATTTAGTCTCTTGGGAAATTAATTTTCCTTTTTTGTTTGTTTGTTTGTTTGTTTGTTGGGGTTGTCTTCATCTGTTATCTGTATTATGCAAACGGCTATCTACTTTGTGTGCTTCTTATTGCGCTAGGCCTTGGCTTAATGACTACTAGTTCACGTTTATTGAACCATTTTCGTCTGTGATTGATGATGCATGCTGATTATGGGAATGATTGTCATGTCGCAGCTGTTAACTTTCTCAGTTTTAGTCAGCGCAGACCTGATCAGCTCCTCGCTAAATGTACTCAACCCCCACTCTGAACCAAGGTAGCTCTCATTGCATTTTTCTTTTAGAGAGAGGCGTGTCCTTTTCCTCCCATCTCTTATTTAATTGTGCCTTCGTTTCTCTTTTGCCCACTCAATTGGTGTATTCTTCTTGCTTCTCCCTAGTAGACATTCACAAGATTTTTGCGCAATGTATGACATTTGTGGAGAACGCAGCGATGGAAAAGTCCTTAACTGTCCTTATGCTTCCCCATCCATTAAGGTTCTGATTAGGATTGGAATATGTTTTAGCACTCGAGACTGACACCATTACGTTTCCCCTTCTTTCTTCTTATTTTTCTTCCTTATGCATCTTTGATTGAACCTGACATTCCTTTCTGCAGCCTGATGAACTCTTTTCTGCCAAAATCCAAAGCCTATGCCCAACCATAACTGGCAAAGTCTGTTGTACAGAGACTCAATTTGACACTTTGAGGTCTCAAGTTCAACAGGTATGACTTTTTCTTTGCTATGCAATCTGACAGAGAAACAAAGACAGAGATGGCGATTTTTTTAGTTTTGTGATATTTCAAGAGCAAATCTTTTGTTTTCTCTCCATGCTTTCTTAATTACTCATATCATTCCTGCAACAAGACAACTTTTCCTATTCTACTTTTCTTTTTTCCGTTTTTTTTTTTTTTTTTTTGCTATAATCACCTCTTCATATTCTTCTAATGAAGTAGGAGATTTACTATTTTTTTTGCTTGATGCTATCTATATTAGGCTGTCCCTTTTCTTGTGGGTTGTCCTGCATGCTTAAGGAACTTCTTAAACTTGTTCTGCGAGCTCTCTTGCTCTCCAAATCAGTCTCTTTTTATCAATGTCACTTCTATTGCTGAGGTTAGCTTTCGTTTTTTCATGTGACAAGTTCAAACTTTTGACGGTTAGTTGAGACCCGTTAATATGGTTAACAACACTAGCATTTTTCATTTTTGAGATGTATTCTAGGTCAGTGGGAATATGACTGTGGATGGTATAGACTATCACATAACTGATACGTTTGGAAAAGGGCTTTACGAGTCCTGTAAAGAGGTGAAATTTGGAACTATGAACACACGTGCCATAAACTTTGTTGGTGGTGGTGCTCAAAACTTCAGAGGTGCGCTGCGGTCTGTTTCAAGGCGTTCTATACCAGTTTTGTCCTTGTTACAAAAGTTCCAGATCTCAAATTTAGTTCTGCTTTTTCAGAGTGGTTTACGTTTATTGGTCAGAAAGCACCACCTGGCTTCCCTGGTTCACCATATGCAATAAACTTCAAATCAAATACTCCTGAGTCAGATGTGATGGTGCCAATGAACTTATCTGTCTATTCATGTGGTGACACATCCCTTGGATGTTCTTGCGGTGATTGCCCTTCGTCACCAGCTTGCTCAAGTCCCGAACCCCTGCCGCCCCGTGAAGAAGAATCTTGCTCAATCAGAATCGGTCCTCTTAAGGTGTGGGTTATGAAATATACACTGTTGGTATGGTCTTGGATTTGATTGTGTTGATTTACATTTCAGGTTAGATGCATTGAGTTATCAATGGTACTTGTATACATCCTGCTGGTGTCTTGCTTCTTCGGATGGGGTGCTTTAAATCGAAGAAGAGATATAACAAAACCTGGTGATAGCTCAGAGCCACTATTGCATCCTTTGGAAGAAGATGGAATTACTAGTGAGCCGAAGGAGAGCACACTTGGTGTCAAGGTATATCAATGTATTGCCTAGAAATTATAGTTCTTCTGTGTTTGTATATGTAGCATATAATACATTTGTATACCCACATATATACTGAACTATCCTTCTCTTAGGTGGAAAGACATGCTCAAGTTTCTCCTGTTCAGAGATACATGGAAAATTTTTACAGGTAAATCTCCAGGATTTTGTTTTGTGGTCTATATTTACCTTGTAATTTCGTCTTCTATATTTTACCCACAAGGTAGCCCTACAACTAGAAAAAACAGAAACTGATAAGATGATATTGTAATGGTTTCCAATTGTTTGCCTCAGAACATATGGGTCATGGATTGCTAGAAATCCATCTCTTGTTCTCTTCATGTCGGTGGCTATTGTTCTTGCACTCAGTTCAGGTCTCTTTAATTTTGAGGTGGAAACACGCCCAGAAAAGGTATGTATTATCTCTGCTAGGACCAGTTATACGAACTTTCTATGACAGAAGCAAAGGCACTGCAAATACTGGTATGAATGTTCATGGGGATTTCTTCATTTTGTAGTTGTGGGTAGGTCCTGGAAGCAAAGCAGCAGAAGAGAAAAAGTTCTTTGATAGCCACCTTTCACCATTCTACAGAATCGAGCAGGTAATTTCTATTTTGCTTCTTCTGTTTATATGCTAGTTTATTATCTATAATATATAACTTTTGTTCACGATTTCCTTGTGTGGCATGACAGCTTATATTGGCCACTGTTCCTGATCCCAAAAGTGGCAGGGCCCCTAGTATTGTGACAGATGAAAATATTCTTTTGCTTTTTGAGATACAAGAGAAGGTATTTTGTTAAAATGCTTCTAACCAATAAATGCTAGTCCAAATGGATGTCTACACCATTTTATTTCAGTGTCATTCTTTTATTTTTTCTGTTTCTTACATATCACAGGTCGATCAAATCCGTGGAAATTATTCAGGCTCAAAGGTTTCTCTGACTGACATATGCTTGAAGCCTTTGGGAGAGGATTGCGCCACTCAGAGTATTCTGCAGGTTGATAATTTCTAAGCTTATGAATTTCTCAATGGTTAGAATATTTTGTGCAACTCTTCATGGTTTATATACTCTGGGTACCTCCATGTGTTTTCTCAACTTCTTAAACATAAAAATTCATCTTGCATGTGGAATTGCTTCTCCACTGACATCTCTTTCTAAATTACATTTCAGTATTTCAAGATGGACCCCGGAAACTTTGATGATTATGGAGGAGTTGAGCATGCTGAGTACTGTTTTCAGGTTTAATTTTTGTTGGGGATTTGAGTCATTCACTACGTAATTACATTGTGGAGTGTCTGCCCTCTTGATTTTTGATTGAATACTGTTTTCTGATATTCTCTCTCTTCAACCTCCAGCATTACACTTCATCAGAGATGTGTTTGAGCGCTTTTCAGGCGCCTGTTGATCCTAGTGCAGTGTTGGGAGGATTCTCGGGGAATAACTATTCAGAGGTAATGGTTTCAGAACTTAGTTGCTCAGTACCTTTTGGTTGTTATTCTGACCTAAACGAACTGTATTTTCAGGCTACTGCGTTTGTTGTAACTTATCCAGTTAACAATGTCATTGGTGATTCAAGTAATGAAAACGCAATGGCAATAGCATGGGAACAATCGTTCATTCAATTAGCAAAGGTTTTCCTGTTCGAAAATGATCATTTTTTCTTCCAGAGCTTAAATTTTTTGTGTTTCTAATTTTTGTTTTTTGAATGATATGGTCGTCTTAAGTAGTTTTTAATCTGATTCCAGGAGGTGGTACTACCTATGGTGCGATCCAAGAATTTGACTCTTTCATTTTCATCTGAAAGCTCAATAGAGGAAGAGCTGAAAAGAGAAAGCACTGCTGATATTATAACAATAGCTGTACGATAACAAACATCTTTGAGAGCTGTCTCTTATCATATTCCTGCCCAGATATTCTTTGGTAATGTGTCCTACCAAGATTTTCATGCCAGTGATCTGTTTTTGTATTCCTTCAACAGGCAAGCTATTTGGTTATGTTTGTTTACATTTCCGTCACACTTGGAGATGCTCCGCAGTTCGATACTTTTTATATTTCATCAAAGGTATGTGTCTTGACCTTCCTCTCAAATTTGTTCCTCTATAGGCATTTCAGTTGTATTCAGTTTAGGTGAGTATTCCTTTAGATTTGGAGAAGCTAGGAATTACTTATGCTCGCCGTCCTAACTGAAATAATTGTAATGCCTGAATATTGATTAGTCCGGGTGATCTTCATGGAACTATTGATACTTCATTTCATTTCCTTATTCCCTCTACCATGGGTGTATATGATCTTTGAAGCTAAATATTCACATTTAACTATCTAGGGCTGGGGAAACGAAAGTATTGTTGATGTACTGTCATTTTACACAGATTAATTACCAAAATCATGATTTCTAGGTTTTACTCGGTCTTTCCGGGGTTGTGCTTGTCTTGCTTTCTGTACTTGGATCTGTTGGAATTTTCAGTGCCCTTGGAGTTAAATCAACATTGATCATAATGGAAGTCATTCCTTTCCTAGTCCTGGCTGTAAGTTCGTTGAGTCTCTGTTGACGGGACAGTGGATATTTGGTATATCTGTTGATGGATATACTAATGATTTTTCTATACAGGTGGGAGTAGATAATATGTGCATACTGGTTCATGCTGTAAAGAGACAACCTCGTCATGTTTCTTTAGAGGAACGGATTAGCTCTGCACTTGTTGAAGTAGGCCCATCGATAACGTTGGCAAGTTTATCCGAGGTCTTGGCTTTTGCTGTTGGAGCCTTTGTTCCAATGCCAGCATGTCGTATCTTCTCCATGTTTGCAGGTTTGTAAATATTTGGTGCTCTCTGTGTACATTAGTTGTGAGTCTGTGACACTGTTCTTCACTTGTGCAGCTTTGGCTATTATGCTGGACTTCTTTCTGCAAATCACTGCTTTTGTTGCCCTAATCGTTTTTGACTGCAAAAGATCTGCGGATAACAGGATTGATTGTTTCCCTTGCATAAAAGCTCCGTCAACATCTCAAGAATCTGTTGAAGGTTACCACCGAAAATTGAAGAGTTAGTATTTTTAACTGTTTACTTCTTTAATTTAGGCAGGGTTTTCTGTGTTTACAGGTGGAACGGGACCTGGGTTTCTTGAGAGATACATGAAGGTGTTTCGATTCTCTCAGAACTGGGACAACTTCTCTTTATTATTAATACGCAGACGATACATGCAATAAAGTCATAGACACATACAAACATTTTAACACAGCCCGCAATCTTGCTGATTTTTTAGTCTTGGTGTTCCACAGGAGGTTCATGCACCTGTTCTTGGACTTAGGGTTGTAAAAATGGGTGTTGTCGCTGTATTCTTGGCTTTTGCGCTGGCAAGCATTGTAAGTTGCTGCCTACATTTTAATGATTGCTTTTTTATCACTATATATATATATATCAATTTTTATGTTTTTTTCGGATTAACACTTCTTTTGCTATAGCACTACAATATAACTATTTCACCAACAAAAGTTCAAAGAGATACGGAGTGAATTATATTAATTTTTCCTGTAATTAGAAGTTGGTATTTTTATTCGTCTGCTTAAATTTTCATGTGTTTATTCATTCAGGCCATCAGCCCAAGGCTTGAAACTGGCTTGGAGCAGAAGATTGTTCTTCCTCGAGACTCTTACCTTCAAGTTTAGAGTGTTCCATTTTTACTTCTCTTTTATGTTGTTCTCCTTTTGTTCATCGCTTGCTCATTTCCCCCAGTTATGATTGGAATTTTATTTGACAGGACTATTTTGACAGTCTGTCAGAGTACCTCAGGGTTGGGCCGCCTTTGTATTTTGTAGTCAAGGATTACAATTATAGGTTCTCTATCTTACACTCACTCAGAAGATCATTCTTTCCGGTACAATTTATTATTTAGCAGTTTTTCCTGCTCTGAAATGGATTCTTTTGGCAGCTTGGAATCAAAGCATACAAATCAGTTGTGCTCTATCAGCCAATGCAATTCAAATTCCCTGTTAAATGAGGTAATAATAATGAATGTGTTTTGAAATGATTTTCATTTTAGTCAGTAACTGGTATGATTTATCTTTACTAAATTCATCATACGAATTCTTATAAGTTTGATGTATCTTCGGCAAAGATCACCTTGTTTTGCCACCAAGGCTGAACACATTTTAAGGGATACCAAAAGGGTTAGTCCGTGACATTCTTTCTTTTCCCCACCTTCCACCAGATATCAAGAGCATCACAAGCTCCAGAAACAAGTTACATTGCCAAACCAGCTGCTTCTTGGCTCGATGATTTTCTTGTATGGCTATCACCAGAGGCTTTTGGCTGTTGTCGGAAGTTCACTAATGACAGTTATTGTCCTCCAGATGACCAGGTCAACTTTTAGAGCTTATTGTGTAAACTACCTTGATTTCTTAGTTTTTTTTTTCTCTTTAACAGATATAGTTATCCCTTAATCACAGAAGAAACAATTATGGGTCATAGGCTATTTTTTTTATATCTGTTTAATTGCCTTTAAACAAACATCAGCTATTTAAAATGCAAACTGGCGTTCCAGTTTCTAACTTCAATTTTTCAAGCTATAGCCACCTTGTTGCACCGCTGAGGAAGATATATGCAGTTTAGATGGGATCTGTAAAGACTGCACTACAGTAAGCCTCTGCCTCTCTCTCTCTTTATCAACACTATTTAAAATTGAATAATTTTGTAAAACGTTGCAGTACAATATTTAAAATTGATCTAATTTTGTAAAATGTTGCAGTGCTTTCGGCACTCAGATTTGGTTCATGACCGCCCATCTACAGCTCAATTCAGGGAGAAATTACCCTGGTTTCTTAATGCTTTGCCTTCGGCTGACTGTGCAAAGGGTGGTCATGGGGCTTATACGAATAGCGTGGATTTGAAAGGTACTCTAGAATTTACTTAAAGAGAAAATCTGTTTTCACTATACTTCATTTCTAGTTTGCTTTTGGTCTGAACCCTCTTCCCGTGGCGGCGCTTGATTTTTTGTTTCAGGGTACGAGACTGGTGTTATACAGGCATCTGAGTTCCGTACATACCACACTCCGCTTAACACACAAGTATGACATTATTGTTTCTGGAAAGCAACTTATTAAGAAAAAAACTCAAAAGTGAGAAAATTTCCTCAGGGTGACTATGTTAATGCACTGCGAGCTGCTCGGGAGTTCAGTTCAAGAATATCAAATTCCTTGAAGGTTTGATCCTGGTGATAAATTCTGTTTTAATGAAGTAAAGATTAGCTGGCTTTGCTTGAAGGGGGATGGTCCACCATATGTATTTTTTCTACTCATTTCCTATATAATAAGCCTTTTTTTTTTTTTTATGCAGATTGACATTTTTCCATATTCAGTTTTCTACATTTTCTTTGAGCAATATCTGAATATCTGGACAGTAGCTTTGACAGACTTTGCTATAGCAATCGGTTTGCTTCCCATCTTTCAAATTATTTGTTTTTGCTAGAGGTTGTACCGAAAGACAACTCTTTACATTCTCATATTGCTTTGGCAGGTGCTATATTTATTGTTTGCTTGTTAATCACTTCCAGGTCAGTTAGCTCTCTACAGATTATGCAAAATTTTGAAATGTGGAGATGTCTTGATGTTGGTTTCTTTTATTAACCTGTCAATTTCAGTGTTTGGAGTTCAGCCATCATTGTCCTTGTATTAGTGATGATACTCTTGGATCTCATGGTATTTATTAACACATATCCATAGAATATCGTCTGGATTTGCATTTTGATTCATGCCGTTCTGGATGCTATGTTGTAGTATAGGATAATCATCCTTGATGTGTTTGAGCAGGGTATGATGGTGATTCTGGGCATCCAACTCAATGCAGTTTCTGTTGTGAATTTGATAATGTCAATTGGGATTGCTGTTGAATTCTGCGTGCACATATCACATGCTTTCCTGGTAAGAACAAGCCATGTCCCCTTTGCAACCTTACTCCGAGCACTACCGTAGATTTTGGCACTACAATCTGTAGCCATGTAGTAGAAGAACAACTTTTCTCACAGTTATCTACTTCTTGGTTAAGTCATGAGTGGATTTAAGGATGCAAAACAGAGCCATGTCTCTTTTCAACCTGTTCTGAAAAATTAGGTTTATGTCCTTCAAATGCAGATGAGTAGTGGGAACCGAGACCAAAGAGCGAGGAAGGCACTGGAAACCATGGGAGCTTCAGTTTTCAGGTGATGAAGCTTACATTTTTTATTGTTTATGCAAAGGCGTTAGTCTAGTTTGTTTAATGGTCGCATTTATGGGACTTGATGAATGAAAACATATTGTTGGGGACAGTGGGATCACACTCACAAAACTTGTTGGAGTGACTGTGCTTTGCTTTGCAAGATCAGAGATATTTGTGGTAAGGACACCTATATCCGTTGCCTTGTGCAGTTCTTGGTATCTTACTTGTGTTGATTCAAATGAATATATATTGGTGCATACAGGTGTATTACTTCCAAATGTACTTGGCACTGGTTATAATCGGCTTCTTGCATGGGCTTATTTTTTTACCAGTAAGTTAACCTGGAAATATCTGTTACCATCTACTGATCTGGCTTGAAAACCCGATATAATGTCATCTCTATCCATTGTAGACAGTAAGTATCTAATGTGATTGATTAATGCACTTGTTGTGGGTTTCAGGTCATACTGAGTTTAGCTGGCCCTCCGCAGCTATATTTGGACATCGAGGAGCAGCAGCAGACAGACGAAGCATCTTCTTCCCTGTTGAACTGAGTAACTCCACAGACTCTCTTAAGTCTTAATTCAAACTTTATATTACTCTTCTTACTGTTCAAATGTCAAAAAGTAAAGAATCAACAGTGTGATTACTGGATATGCTCTGTATCAAAGTTAGGTGACAGGCCCGTGGCCCAAACTATTGGCCCAAAGTTTAATAGATAGGATATTGACAGGCCCATGGCCCATAGCCTAGAAATCCTATCTATTAAAGAAAAGAAAACAGAAAAGAAGCTGGGAGATGCGATGCAACTGCTGTAGATTACTGTAAATTAATGGTTCTTACAAAATAATATTAGCTTCAAAGAAACTAGTAATCTATATTATATAAATGATATATATATAGAGAGAAAAGGGATCACAAGAAGAAGCCAACAAACTAAATGAATACGTTTAAATCAAACAAGTTTTTGTTGCATGTAAATGTAAAAAGAAAGATATACAAACCAAGCCAAAATAAAACGATGGGAGGATGATGGAAATTAGCGAAGTGGGTTTTATAATTTAGTCAAGAATCAAAGGAGGGGAGAAAGAGAGAGAGAGAGAGGATGGTGAACCAATATTCTGATAGTTTTCTCAAGAGAAGACTTGTAGACTTGTATGCACTCCTCAAGATCAGCTTCGCACGTCAATAGAACCCATTCTTGATCATCGTCCATATACTTGAGAACGAAGTTACTTGTCAAAACATCATCCATCCCAAACCGCTTTGCGATCTCTCTTCTGAGGTCTGCGAGACACGAGTGGGGCTGCAGGCACATCCTCAGCATCGAATCTCTAAACATAGCCTTCACTTTCATCCCTTCCTTTGCTTTCCTTGGAGCTGTTGCAGATGGCAATGGGGGTAGGGAGGAGGTTACGCGAGCTGGCCTCTGGTCCTCATGCAGGATGCTTAGAGGAAGCACCTGTGGATGGCTGAGAGCTGGTTTCTGGAAGCCACCAAGCTGTTGCTCTTCGGATGAGCAACAAGTGCTTGAACCTGACGAGCTCTGGCTACCAGATGACGAAGGTGGTGACTTTGGAGGCACATGGATAGTTTGGGTTGGATTGATCAAAGGAAAAGAAGAAGTAGAGGAAGACTGAAGTTGAGGGAAGCTTGAGTAGAAGGAGGCGAGATGGAGAGAGCCTTGAACTCCTTCGACAGAGTCGATAACCACCTGCAGTTTTCTAAGAGAATGTCCAACTTTCTTGATCTTCCTAGATGGCCACCTTGAGATTCCGTGCTGTCTGCAGATCCTCTTCAAGGTCGTAGGACATACTGCATTATGTAATTAATGTCATCATCATATATCAACTGTGTGTGCATATATATATATATATATATATATATATCCAAATTAGTGAAGGAGCAACGTAACTACCCCCAATATTTTTAGCAGCGTCCTTGAGGCTGCCAGCAAAGTGTTGTCTGAGAGTCTCCAAAGTGATATCGTGTTCAGCCTTTGTCTTGCGTTTTCGGCTCTCCAGGGAGGAAGAAGAAGAGAATGAAAGCGACACTTGTTGTTTGCCCTTGGGGTCCTCATCTGTCAGGGGTGTGGCTGTGTCCCTCACTTCTTCTGCAAGTTGGTCGTCTACCATCAGATGTGGTGAGCTCTGGAAGTGTATGTTGAGTTGGGAGGCGAGGGTCAGCCTCTGAGTTTGGATGTCAAGACAGTCTCTGGGGAAGAAGAACTCGAGAACAAATTGGACGGTGCGGTTGCGTCTGGTCAGGAGAGGGACGGCGAGAGCAGCGTGGAGGTCCAACATCCTGGCGTAGTGGGAGAGAGGATGGCTCCACTTGCTGAAGATGGCCACATCTGTTGCGAAACACTGTTTCTTGGTGGCAAAAGCTCTTCCGGCGATTCCCTGGCCGCCGAATAGATGGTGCTCTGAACAGGCGGCCAGGAAGCAGCGGCTGTCTTGGTCAGCGGCGTAACAGGCGGAGGTTATAGCAGAGAGGCTGGATGAGTCGTCTTGGTGCCCCCACGTGATGGCTAGAGGGAGCCCGTGTGAACTGCAGATGCCTTGGAGAATCGAGGCCACCTCTGTATGAAGCTGTGGAAGCTGAAGATTTGAGAGAGGGTACAGTACTACACGCTACTGCGTGCGTTAACGTAACATATAATTAAGAGAGGACTTGAAGAGCTGACCTTGAGAGAGGCTGGAACGATGGAGGTTTGTGAAGTCCGGAGATCAAAGGCCTGCGGGAATTTCAGATTGTGACTACTAATTTACTGATAATAATATATAAAGTAACGGATGTTAACCATTGAAGCTCTTCAAAGGTTGCTTACGTCAACCAAAATAATAATAATGCAAAGACATGGGAGCGAGTCAATGCTGAGCAGTGTTCCAACAGTGCAGTGACAAGAATATTTGCCAAGTAAGTAATTATATTTATACTTTTTAGTTAGATCGATGGAATTAAAAGAAGACTCGATCAAACTAAACTGACTTTTAACTATAAATTAATAGAGAGGAGTAGTCATGTCCATTAATAATTCTATCAATTCGTATATGAGTTAGGTTAAATTCAAATGACCTGAAGGGCATGGCAGATGGTGTGAAGTTGGGAGGCATGCTCCAAGCTGCGGCGAGTGGTGACCATTTCCATCACGGCCACGCAGTTCCCGGAGGCTCCTTGGAAGAGTGGGAGAGCGAGGGAGGCTCGGACCTTGTACATGCGGGCGTATCCTATGCGAGGGTACTCCTCGCTCGTGAAGAAGCGAACGTCTGGTGTCCACTCGGGCATCCTCCTCAAGAACACACGCCCAGGCAGCCCCACGGGCTGGTCCGACCCAAGCTCTGCTGCGAAGCTGTAGCCTGCTGAGGCGTCTCTGTAGAGGGCCAGGCTCTGGCTCTGGCTCTGGGAGAATGGGTTGAGAGAGTAAGGCTGATCCTCCGTTCTCAGCACTCTTCCGCTCCTTCTCTCTACAGGCACCCACAGCTGGATCAGCAACTCCCTCTCTCCCATCAGTACCTCTTGCAGGTGCCCCATGGCGCAAGTCACCCTCTCCTTTAACCCTGCTGGTGATGATAATGCATCTTCTTCCCAGCATTGCTCCTCCCAAAGGAACTCGTCCATAAAGTTTTCAGGGAAATCCACTACGCCCGAGTTGTTGCTGATTTCTTCCATGAGCAGCCTGATGAGAACGAATGAGGGGTCTTTGATGAACCAAACAAACTGAGACCAAAAAAAAAATATAAGAAAAAATGTTATAGATGATGCAAGCGCATGTGGTCTGATAGGCTCTCTTTTTCTCTATCTTTCCTTTGCTAATTTGTTGTTCAATATCAAACGCCAACGACTCCCTTTTAAATATTACAATAGTGTATATGTCAAACTTGTAAGAAATAAAAACCAAAAAAAAAGAAGAAGAGAGCTGCCAAAATGGGATAAGTCAGAAAGCTAAAATAAAAACCCAATTGCTCAAAAAGGTCAAACCCCCTTGTCTATTATTTGGAGCTGACCTCATCTCATCGTCTGAATCTTTTACTAATCCATCCAGCAGTTACTTACAATTATATATATAGAAGAAACACACACGAAAAAAATGTGAGCTAGAGAGGTATATATATGTAATGTGTGAGAGAGATGCATGATGAAGCAGCAAGAAAGAAAAAAAATATAATCGTTAATTTTCTGCAAGTAAATATCAAAAACAACAACTGGATCCAGCTGCTAGGCTTGAGAAGAAGATGATGATGGATGGAATCTTTGGTCGTGAAGGGTGCAGAATCTTTTTTAAAGGGTCCACCACAAATACACACACACACACCATAAAATTGTGAAATAGTATTATTTATTATCAGATATCCAATATACTGAATGTATCATGAATCTCCAAGGGTTTAGGTAGTCCAAATGCGCACTAGGAAAATCCAAGTTAATTTGATTATCAATATGTAGGTACTAATAACAAGCAAAGCAAAGGCACACCTGACCTAATCATCACAAATCAATTAGGTGATTGATTCCCATGAAAGATTCCAAAAGGGACATATGTCATGATGGAATAAGCAAGCATTTCTGATCATACGATTTTTTTTTTTTAATACAAAGATGAAGAGTTTAAAAAGAAGCCAATGAGAAGAAGGCAGATCATGGTAAACAATTAAAGCCAAAAAAAAAAAAAAAAAAAGAAGATAGGAGAGGGTCACTTATTATATAGCTTGGGTTATCAAAATTACTACTATAGTATAGTGTGATGACTCTTGAGGATTACGGGAAGCCAAAGTCCCTCCATCTCCATGCCAAGCTTCTCATCACGAGTCTCCGCATCTCTCTCTCTCTCTATATATCTATCCTCAGCAATGGTTAAGAACCCTCCTAATCATAATACTATTACGTATTTTCACAATTAGTTAGTTAAATGGGTTATTATAGCTTAGCTAGAGAATGAGTAGCAAAGGCCTTTCAAATGTTGCTTTTGAGGAGACAGCACCCCTACCCAATACCCATGATCCCACCCTACACTTCTTTTGACCCACCCATTTCCCAAAACTATATATCATTTATCGATCCATCCCTTCTTAGAACTAACCTTATATAAATACTTCCCTAAAAGAAGAGGGTTCGTTCTTTTAGTTATTGCTTTTAATTTTTTGCTCATGCCGTCGAAAATAGTGAATCCATTTCTAGTAACGTACTGTGTTATAAGGGATTTTATAACTCCATCCTGATCCCTCTCTTTTTAAAAATATTATACATGCTCATTTGTTTGCTAAAAGACTAATCTAAAATGGGATTAATCCTTCTTCTTTTACATTAATTAATTGGGTATATATATTCTCGTTTCGTTTACGTGCCTTGCACAAAAAAAGAAAAGAAAAAAAGAAAGAAAAAGCAGTATTCTCAAACCATTATCTAAAGAGATAGCAGTATTATCTAAAGAGTATAATACTAGTAGTTGCATAATTAAGAGAAGGGCTGGGTTTGATGAGAGAGATCAATGATGGATCTGTCCGAATCTTTCTTCACATGACATCAGCAACCTCTCAGAATCTCACCCCTTTTATTATAATCGTAATTAATATATACATTACATATGGTTGTTTTAATAATTAGTAAATTTTCAATGAGGCAGGCTTAAGGAATCCCCCCTAATTAAAAAAAAAAAACACCCATACAAAAAATAATCTGATGATGAAGATCTATTCCTATTTATGCTTCATAAAAATCGTATTCCAAAATCTTTATAATCTGATATGTGCCATCCGTCCATGATCCCATTCCATTAATTAAGCCGATATACATACACATATCATATACATATAATAAATGTGTACATCATCATCTCAAAGTTTATCAAATTAAATTATACAAGTTTGTGTGTGTGACATCATGAGTGAAATGTTCTTTAATAAATAAAACGGAAACAGCTCTCAGGTCAACAACCTAATCAGTTCACCAAAAAAAAAAAAAAACAACCTAATCAAGTAATCATAATCGTCCACGTATATATGTATACATACAAAAGATGGATAAGAGAGACTCACACAACCCGTCAACTCTTATTACAAGTTACTCTTAACGGCATCATACAACACATGCCTCCGCTCTTCGCCCTCGCCTTCATAATTATCACTTTTGCTTTCGTCCACATGTGTTCTTGCCTTCCTTGAAACAAATCACAACATTATACTGTATCATCAGCCTAACAACACAAGATAAATGATTCAAGACAGTCTTTTAAGTTACCAAGACTTACCCATTTTTCAGTTTCCTTGGTCTCTAACTATTCTCCGTCATTTGATGTAGTCTTTAGACTATTCACAGACCGTCCTAACACGTTCAGAGCCGCTACACGCTGCATCTCTCTCGCTGCACCAGGATCAACACACTTTTTTCTTTTTATAGAGCATATACTTAATTTTAGATGGTTCCTACTAGCCATAACGGTTACAAAAGGCTGGAGTAAAATTCTACTGCAACAATAAACATTCACTTGTCCTATCACAAACGTTAACCAAAATTTCCTGTAACCAAAGTAGTCTATTGTTGGCATATCCTGGCCAAAAGCAAACAGTCTACTTACCCTATCAGGTCTCATTCATTTTCAGTTTGAGCAGGAATAAGAGGATGAGTGAGAGTACCTTCCTCGAGAGAGAACTGAATAGACCTCTTTTCCAAGTCAACAGCATGCTTGCTAAGCTCGGAGGAGGGAAGTGACCAAAGCACTAACAATAGAAACAATAGGAAAAGTGACAAGTAGAGTGACAGGCACTAGCACACATATCATTTAAGAAAGATGGTGGGAGCTTACTCTGCACATGATCGTTCCGATCAGAAGAATCATTAAGCTTATTAAGAAGCGTTTGAAGATGATGGTAACGCTCTTCCCAGTCCAACCTATGGCTGGTAGGTCCAGGTGGGGATGAGCTGACCACAGCCAAGGTTGGTGGTTCCTTAGGCGGAGCTTTGGATGTGTCGACCTCGACTCTTCTCCGGACATATACAAGTCGCCCGCTTGCAGCATTAGTGGCTGGAGATGACGGATTCACAGGAGACCCCATTGGAGGTTTCTTTACCCCAAGTGATATTGAATCTTGTTGGATAGGGTTTTTCTTTGGTGAAGTCGTTGTTCCGCCTTGGGGCTCGGGAATCTCAGAATCACATGCTTCCATTTTTTAAAACGACCTAACTACTGTAAAAGGAAGAAGCTAAGCTAATTAAGGTAAACACCAAGCGTATCTACAACTCATTCAACTGAAAGATTTGGATTTTGAAATTGGAATCTGATGAATGAAGCGGAGGAGGCGCTCATGCGAATTTTTACCTGGAGGATGATGGGACGGATCAGAGCATGGCGAGCTGCGCGTCAGATGCCTTTCCTCGTCTACCTAAGCTAGGCTCGCTGGCGGAGGGAAGAGGGGCTTAATGATGGGCCAATCTTAGGCCCGTTATGTTCATTCGTGTAGAAAACGATGGGTCTAAATATATAAGGCCCATTTCACGTTCAAACCAAAGTGAAAAGATGAGCTTTTTTATTTGGGTCGGTGAAAGTTGGTAATATTGTATTATGGTTTTCTTTGCTAAAACAAGAGTTACTACTAAAATACTATTTCGTACTAATCCTCCCTCTCTCTTGGTTCCTTACTAATGTATACTGAAAACAGTTTCTCTTATTTTGTTTTCCAAGTGTGCTTCATCTACATCCACTCTCTTCATTCATTCGTTGATGTTGCAACGACGCAGATACGGATTATCGTACTCAACGTACTTGGACCAGTACAGTTTGTACTTGGCGAATGCCAATCCCAGCCATGGCTTATAGTTCCCATTGTAATGCACAACCGCTGCATTCTCTATTGCTGTTTGGTTCAGCGCTGGGTCGTATCCCAGCCCCAGCACGTGCCAGCTCCTCTCCATTGCATATGTCAAGTTATAAAATGTGATCAGCCCCGGTGGCAACGAACCCAGCTTCCACAGTGTTCTGTCTTCATTCTGAATCACACACCACAAGATATTATAGACACAGCCAGCTTTCTATCACAGTAAAAATTTATATGCCTTTTGAAAACTCAATCATGAAATATGCCTCACCATGTCTTGCCAATAGTGATATATCCCTGTAATGTTCCGTTTCCTCCACTCTTTCAGGTCAAACATATTCATGCCAAATGCCCACCCGCAAGCACCTGCGTCGAAATTCTCTGAGATTTTTGGATTAGAGAAGTTGAGGTACTTGTCAAATCTGTGGAAGCTCTCCTTGCATGTCTCCACCGCACCATTCACTTTCCCTTGCATGTCTACTGCCCATAGAGGTGCCAGGTCCTTTTGCACCACAATATCATCGTCTAGAAACAGGATTTTGTCCAGCTTCGGATAAACCTCAGGAAGGTAGAACCTGAGATGATTCAGCATTGATAGATACTTTGGGTTGCGGTACTTAAGATTGTCTGCGCCAGCAGAAATAGATGAAGGATGATTTGCTTTGAAGTAGTATTCTTTCAGCCTTGCAGATTCGAGCTGCCGTAGAACAGAGCAATAAGAGGAGTTCAGCCACTTGAAGTCATTGATGTTTTCAACTTGAATTGTCGCATCAGCAGGAGCACTGACGCGAAACCACATCTTCATTGCAGCAAAATTCAATTTGTCTGTTACTATATGGAACACATGCTTCTGCGGTTCCTTTGCATTCAAAACAGTGGAGTTGACCACCACAGATGTGGCCAGAACATTATCAGAAAATATCGCATAGTGATAGAGAGAAGGATCTTCAAACTTTTTTCGACTGACCCCCTCTTTGACTGCATCCTCTTTATTGAAACCTAAAATAAAATAGTCTGCCGCTAATTGCAGACTCAGGCAATGCAATGGCTTGGGAAAGGTTTTGGCAGCTAACTGAATTAAGAAGGTGCCCTTTTTCTTCAGTCCATCTACTTTGCGTTCAGTGGATTGAAGCATGGCCCGGAACTTTTTCGCAAGTTCATGACAGTCATATAACTCGTCTTTCGCAAGAGAGAGGGTGTGGCCCATGGCTTTTGCTTGATCAAGAGCACTAGCAAATAAAAAAGTGATGGCAAAAATTCAACAATGATAGTTGTCTCACTAATCTATGCTGACAAGAGGAATGTAAAAAAGTACCTTGAAGGAAGGTCAGCATCAGAGGTTGCTTTTCCTATAACACGTTGATTTTCTCCATACTGCTGCATCAAGAATGCGTACAGATTGGTTACATTTTTTGATTTGGCAATATTTGCATATGCTTTAGCCATTATGATCTGGTCTCTCATAAGCTTCAAGATAGCATCCGCATTTGGGCTCTCATAGTCTCTCCTCCATATACTGTATTTCCCAATCACTGAGTTTTCAAAGCTTATTGACTTCTCAATGGCTGCTTCTTGCATCTGCTCGTCAGTCTCCTTTTCTTGTTGGATCAGTTCAAGAGTTCGTTGACCTCTCCTTTCCTGGCGTAAAATCTGAAATGAACTACAATTGTTACACTCCCAGTCATATATAATCAACGCATACAGAGATTTACAAAAAGACGGCTATTTGACAGATCACCTGACGCTTCAGTTTTGCTGGGCTTGCAAATTCCATGTGTGGAAACTGATTTTCAGTTTCATCAGACTGATTAGTTGTAGAATGACTTGCATCGTCCACTCTAGTATCATTTTGAAATGACTCCCGTGGTATCACTAGCTAATTCCATTAAAAGAAATGTCATCAACCAGAGAACAAAGCTTCAGGATAAATCCAAGGAAACGAAACCAAAAAGAAATCTCTAATATCTTTCTAGCCTCTACGAGGAGGCTGATAATCAGATTACACCTGATTAGAACATCGGAAGTTCATAAGAGGTATACATTGCTCTGCCAGAAGAGTGGTAAGAAATCACTTCACACACTATAATTTGTGTCTCCTCTAGATCCATTGTCCATAGGATATATATACGGTTCTGTTCTTAAAGTGATGATCAAATCTTATAAAAACCAGAAAACCAGTCTTTAATAAACACGAAATGTTGGTACCTGCGAACCTTTTTTCTTGCCGCTAACTTGAAGGGTAGGATTCTCCAAAACCCAAGAAGATGAAAGATCCCCCATTTTCACACTACCAAGCCGTATATTGCCATAATGGTCACTGTATGTGGCAACTATGTTCACATCCTGAGATAACAAATCTATTAGAAGTAGGAAGCATAGAATTATTGTATTTAGAGGAAGAAGAACCTTACTTTCAGATCTGGATCGTAGTGCACTGCAGCAGCTGAGGAAGCGTACACATCCTGAAGGCATTATTAGTGGATACCCAAAAATCAATCACAAGCTATAGAACCCCAAATATTTAGCAAAGTGTGATATTTGAATCAAATAAGTTATTGAGGGGACAACAAGAGAATCAGACCTTTACATTATTACATCCACGACAATCTTGCAGGGGACGATAAGCTTTAAGTTCTCTGTGGCTGCACAAGGAAGCATCATGGCACAAAAAGAAAAAAGGAAAAGAGTATCAACAAATAGAAACAGCGAAGCCAAAAGACGAGCTTCCAGGAGATAAATTAAAGCATTACGGTGCCTGTGACTCAAAAACGGCTCCAACAGCATGTAGGAATATCTGCAAATCAAACAGTCTTATTAGTTCGAAATTGATCATAGATGATCCGTTATCAAAGCAGTGCGAGCAAGAGCGATAAATCACATGGAACGAGAAGAGGCGAAGTAGGTACCAGCCATACGAAGGCGTGAAATAGAGAAACGGAGCATCTCGAGAACGTCATCTGGATCTGACTGATATCACCACATCCCCGCCGGCGAATCATGTGAGAATCGCAGGCAGCTTTCTTAAAAGCACATTAGTCGTCGGGTGGTTTCTCGAAACGTGCACGTGCTGCCGTTTCGTGATGACAAGAACCACACGCAGTTCTTTGGTAGGCCACGACACTGTAATTCGGGAAAAAAAAAAAAAGAGACGACTTTTTAGTTTTTTTAAAAGCAGACATCTTTTAGAGAGAGGAGGAGATGGTCGTTCTCGTTCAGAATGTGCATAGCAGTGTTTCTGTGGCAATCGCATCCGCTTTACCCTTTTCTTCTCTTTCTCAATAGAGATGAAGATCACAACAGGTGATTTAATCCCCTCTGAAATCGATCGCTTCAAAAAATTGCGTCTTTTATGATGATATTGTAATGATGTTGTTTGATGTAAATTGTCAAGGCCGACGGAGGCGCTGCGTTGGTGGGAAGACGGAGACACGGTGGGAGGAAGAGACCTGGTTGGCGGCGGGACGTGGCTAGGCTGCACGAGGCATGGCCGTCTCGCTTTCCTCACTAATTTCAGGGAAGCCTCCTCCATCCCTGATGCTAAATCCCGTGGAGATCTGCCTCTTCGTTACTTGCAGGTCTACTATAATACTGTATTATGCTGCTTCTGACGGTCTGTTAGAGATGTGAGACTAAGAGGAGCTTTCTTGTTTTGTTGAGAACAGAGCCGAAAGAGTCCGGCCCAGTTTGCCGAGGAGATCCTAGACGAAACTTCTCTGTACAATGGCTTCAACCTTGTAGTCGCTCATGTCTTGTCCAAATCCATGATTTACATTACCAACCGTCCACGCCACGGTGACAAGCTCGTGACGCAAGTCTCTCCGGGGATCCATGTCCTTTCCAATGCCAACCTCGACTCTCCTTGGCCCAAGGTAACTCTGCCAATTCTCCCTTGGACTTTTGCACACTCCCCAATTGCAACTGTTTGTTTCGTCTCTGCAGTGTGTGAGGCTGAGAGAGGGTTTCGAACAGCTTCTGGCTGAGAGCGGGGGAGGTGAATTCCCGGTGAAGACGATGGTGGAGGAGATGATGACCAATACTGTCAAGGATGAAGACACCGAGCTGCCTCACGTTTTTACACCAGAGACGGAATACCATCTCAGCTCCATCTTCGTCGATATGCAGAGAGAAACTGTAATCTTCCTTCCTATTTTAGAGTATATTTTAACTTCCAACTCTTTTCTATGAATATATTCAAGTCTCACTCTTGGATTACAGGGGCGTTATGGGACCAGAAGCATCTCGACGATCAGCATCAAGTCCCATGGTGAGGTATGTTTCTACGAGAGGCATCGTGAAGAAGGTGATTCATGGAAGGAACACACTCAACAGTTTGTAATAAACCAAAACGAGAGTTTTTGATTAGCTAGTCTGGCCAAGCTTATGTCAAATGTAACATTGAGTACCCAAAACTCTCACATACATATTGGGTATGTAACACACAAAACAGAAACAAAGCTCATCTCTTTTATTCCAACCATCAAAGTACAAATACAATCACAATACTTGTAAACCACAAATCCAATATACATAATGGCACAATTCACACTTATTGGACACAAGTAGAAAATGTCTCACTTCCCACACGCTTACACTTTGACCGAGAAGATCTCACTGAGGGAACTCCAAGTTCCGGACACAGCAAGAGCTACACCGAGTCCCACAATCGCTGTGTCCGAACTCCATCGCATCCATCCCATCTCTTCCTTGAAGACCAATAAATGGAACAATGCAGGCAACACAAACCCTAACACACAGCAAGTGCTGCTGCCCACCAAGGACAAAAAATCTGTAAAGTTTGGCACAAAGAGAGCCACCAGAGTCACTACCAAGACAAGCAGCCACCTCAGCCACGCGGAGTACATCCCACGCGAGAAACGCCTCTCCACTATCTCAAACACTGGATTCATCATCAATGGGAAGGTGAAGAAGAGGTTGATGCACAATCCAAGCTGAACAACAGTGCTAATAAGTCCTGGCCCCAAGTTTGCCGTGATTATGTCCATGGTGTCTTCACCAAAAGCCAAGTAACCTAGGAAACCAAATGATATGTAAATGAGAGAGATGAATCCCATGCCGAGTGCCAACACTTTGCCAAACTTGTCCTTGTCCTTCATCTCGGATTCGAGAGGCAAGACCATTCCAACCCCTTCGAAGGAATAGACAGCCACGCCCATCCCATACAAGAAAAGCGACATACCACCAAAGGCAACCACGTCAGGCCTTTGCTTCAGTATAATCATGGAATCCTCAACAATCACAACAGCCATAGCGCCAAGATCAACAACGTCGGCGAATATGCTCAGAGGGGCCAAGTGAGTGAGCGTCTTAATGGAATTCAAACCCAGCTGAAAGGGAAAGCATCCCCATATGTAGAGACTCTTAGAGGAGACGCCAAAGAAATCAGAACCCAGCCGTGTAATCTGATGTCTGAGACTGGTGGGGGATTCGGGATCGAATAGATTAGCTAAAGTAGTGCCGATGAAGATTAGATAACCGACACAAAAACCAGCTTGAGACAAAATAATGAATAAGTCAACGACGATCCTCCCGAAGGAGCCGCAGACGGCAAATCCCAGGTCCCCGAAAGAGCCGATCTTGGAGACGCCACCATTGAAAGAGTCGAGCTTGCGGCGGGTATGGACAAGAAGCATCATGCAGTGATGGGTCAAAACTGAGACGGAGACGAGAAGGAGCACGCCCATGAGCCAACCGGTTCGCTTGAAGGCGTAAGGAAGACCTAGAACCCCAGCGCCGACGACTGCGATGAAGACGTTAGCGAAGGTCTTGAATTGGCTGGACAGGGGGGGTCCCTTGCCAAGAAGAGGCGTGTCCTCTCTAGCCGCCGGTGGTATTTTAAGGGTGTGAGAGGAGGAGCTAGCTTCGTTCTCAAACCCCATCTGATGACTCTCCACCAGATGCGAGATACTGAGATGGGATGGAACAAACTCAGACTTGCTCAATCTGGAAATGGAGGAGGGGATCAATCAAAGAAGAAGATTGGGGGCGACAGCAAGATAATTGGATGAATAGCGTGTCGTGTAGAGTTTGGTGGAGGGAGTCCTTTGGGTTGTCGTTGGCTATTTATGGATGACATGAAATGATCTGGTCATCTCATTCTCACCTCACTTTTAGAAACAAAAACGATGCCGTTTCAAACAAAACTAGCTTAGCAGCTCCCCTCTCCCTCCCGGCACTGTCGTCGATCGCCTTTAAAGGTTTTTCATCATCCATCACTCAGCCAAACCAAAACAAAATAGATATGGCGAGGATTTCTTGTGACTTCAGATTTCTTCTGATTCCGGCAGCTTTCATGTTCATCTATATCCAGGTCAAATCTATACCCTCCTTTTGGATCGCTGATAAATCCCACAATCTAAATCAGTAATTTTCAATTTAAAGTTGATTGTTTTTGGCTCTTTTCTTCTTCTTTCTAGATGAGGCTTTTCCAGACGCAATCGCAGTATGCAGATCGCCTTGGTTCCGCTGTGAGTTACCGCTTAGACTAACTGCTTTCAAGAAGAAGAAACTATGTGCAATATTACAATTATATATCTAATGCTTTGTTTCCAGTTTGTCTAGTATGTCATGATGATCATATTTTATCTGCAGATCGAATCAGAGAACCACTGCACTAGTCAAATGCGAGGGCTCATAGATGAAGTCAGCATAAAACAGTCCAGGATTGTGGCTCTGGAAGGTATCTGTTTTCTGTCTCCCATTCTTCTTTCCTCCTTGCCACTTTTGCAAAATTCTAGATGACCATGTTTCTGTAACCTCTTGAGGTAGAAAACCATATATTTCTATAACTAGTTTTTTGAATGGACTATAAGACTTACGCTTTTCTCTGAGTCTGTTGTAGATATGAAGAATCGCCAGGACCAAGAACTTGTGCAGCTAAAGGATCTTATCCAGACTTTTGAAAGTTCGTTTCTATCCAACTGTAAAACTCATTTTCTTGCTTTTCTTTCCCCCCGGTAATAATGCTTATTTTCTTCTCCCAGGAAAAGGAATAGCAAAACTCACTGAAGGTGGACAGGTCTGGATAAGAAGATACTTTTCTTCGTTTCTGTATCTGCTGCACTGCTACCACTTGCTTTAACCTGTTTCTTGTTTGGATTTAGCAGATGCCTGTGGCTGCTGTAGTGATTATGGCTTGCAGTCGGGCAGACTATCTTGAAAGGACAGTTAAATCAGTTTTGAAGTGAGATACCAAACTGTTTCAATTCTTTTTCAGGAAATCATAATTGAGGTGTCTAATGGCTAATTGTTTTTACAGATATCAAAGTCTCGTCGCTTCAAAATATCCTCTATTTATATCGCAGGTACTTAATAGCTGGGAATGTCAAGGTGGTGGTCTCTTATGCTGTTTATAGTCAACGATTTACTAACCATGGTCTTCACGAACAAATTTTTTTTTCTGACAGGATGGATCTGATCAAGGCGTCAAGAGCAAGGCGTTGAGCTATAATCAACTAACATATATGCAGGTATAATCTAGTCTGATTTTTCTCCCTACTGTTCAAGTAATTTGGTCATGTAGAAGTAAGGATGACAGCTCTTTTGCCCTCTTTTAGCACTTGGATTTTGAACCAGTGATCACTGAAAGGCCTGGCGAACTGATTGCATACTACAAGATTGCACGTAAGGACTGGTATCTCCTTTCTCTGCATCCCTGCAGCTTCATTACTGAAACACTTTTTAATACAGGTCACTACAAGTGGGCACTGGACCAGTTGTTTTACAAACACAAATTTAGCCGAGTGATTATACTAGAAGGTGACACTTTTTTACCTTTCACCCTCAATGTCCCTTGCTGTTGTGCATTTGTGCAGTATTGTTTAAGAGGGGTCGTATTTCTCTTCGACAGATGATATGGAAATTGCTCCAGACTTCTTCGATTACTTTGAGGCTGCAGCTAGTCTCATGAATAGGGATAAGTATGTTACCTACTGAAGCTAGACTCTTATGGCATAAGTTTCCACAGAGTATACAAGTGTTTTTTTTTAATGTTTTCATTCTTTTCTGGATACAAACACGGGTTAGAACCATAATGGCTGCTTCATCATGGAATGATAATGGGCAGAAGCAGTTTGTGCATGATCCCTGTAAGATTCTTCTTCTTCTTGCTTATTTAGCTTCCTCTCTTGCCTGTTCTTTCAATACCTCATTTTGTCTTGCTCATGCTAGCTAAAATAATCTGCAGATGCACTTTACCGATCAGATTTTTTTCCTGGCCTGGGGTGGATGCTGAAGAGATCGACTTGGGATGAGTTATCGCCTAAGTGGCCAAAGGCATATCCTTATAATCCGTTTTTCCAATCTCGAACTCGATGACTATAGTTTGATACATCAAAAACTTTCCTTAATAACTATCCACTTACTGGGATGATTGGCTGAGATTGAAGGAAAACCATAAAGGCCGCCAATTTATTCGACCAGAAGTGTGCAGAACATACAACTTTGGTGAACATGTAGGTACCGAATTCTGCTATATCATGAGTTTCCGTTGCCATAGTTGTACAAGTCTGTTAATTTTATTTCTGTTAAGTTGGCCAATGCTCAGTGCATATGAATTCTGCTTTATGTATGAAAAATACAAATATATTGTTGGAGCTTCGTCTTATAGTACATGGACGTAGACAGTCAAGACCAAATAATACCTTTTTCATTTCACCCTTTCATATAACCTTGCCATTTTCCTTTTGCAGGGGTCTAGTTTGGGACAGTTTTACAGTCAGTATCTGGAACCTATAAAGCTAAATGACGTGAAGGTAAGCACCAGTGTGGTTTTAGTCCCTTTGTTGAGTCCCCACTTTTCACTGATTTCTTATTTCATTTATAAGGTTGACTGGAAAGCGAAGGACCTGGGATACCTAACAGAGGTAATATTTACAGAACTCTGGGAACCATATATTTTGTTTCCCTTTCGTATGTTTTGAGTGGGTAAATCTAGTTTTTAAATCGTTCTCTCATGTCTATACAGGGAAACTATACCAAGTACTTTTCTGGCTTGGTGCGACAAGCACGACCAATTCAAGGTTCTGACCTTGTCTTAAAGGCTCAAAACATAGAGTCTGATATTCTTATCCGGTATAAAGACCAAGCAGAGTTTGAACGCATTGCAGGGGAGTTTGGTATATTTGAAGAATGGAAGGTAAATTTCAGAAGATTGAACTATGACCTTCAATGATTGTAGGTCCAAAAGGGTCACTGTTGTGTAGCCCCATTCATTGTGCAGGACGGTGTGCCTCGAACAGCATATAAAGGAGTAGTGGTGTTTCGAATCCAGACTACAAGACGGGTATTCTTGGTTGGCCCAGATTCCATAATGCAGCTTGGAATTCGAGATTTGTGATGCAAAACATGTACCATCTCCAACCAGCATCATTTACATCAAAACCATTTCTTACAGTTCTCTGCTAACCAGGTTTCAAACGCAGATGAAAGCAAAAGTAGGTTTTCGACTCAGGCAGCCTCCTTCTAGCATCGTCGGCACTTTTGGTTGTATTATCTATGAATGAGTTTGTGGAGGGGGATTAACTTTAATAGCTAGGAAACTCTGGTGACATGTCTCATTGGTTTAGAAGATATGGGAACCCCTTTTAAAGGATCAGACATATACATTTAAGTCGTTTTATGACTGATTTTGTTGTGGGTATCTTACGCGAATGCAAATTATTCTATTTAGTTTTTCGTCTGTCCACTTCTATTGGTTTCTGTATTGCTAGTGTACATAGCTCTTCAACCATCTAGATATATTAAATGCTTCATGTTACCGCCAAATCATTATTTCGTAAGGATTATTGACCTTAACGCCCAAACTAATCTGTGTTGCTTCAAAGAAGTAATTTTTATTTCACCCCCACTTTCATCTTTGGCGAGTAGCCAATGTAGTCAGAGGACCCATCTTTTCACAATCGCATCTCCTCATATAACCCGTCAGCTGGAATGTGAGGCTATGGGAAAATTGGTCGATCATTACTATGACCAGTTGTAGATAAACGGACGGGTGAAAGGATCTTTGATTTGTCTCATGTGAGTAAAAGAGCCTTGCAGAGTCCGCTGCATTTTTAGAATATTCTATTAAAAGAGACTATTTTATAGATGTGTTGATCACTATTAGTCAAAGATATCTTCTGTTATTTTTAGTCAGGATGTAGAGACGTTGGAGACAATATTGCAAAACAATAATGTTCAACAAAGAATACACACTTTGATCATCGGATCTGCACCAATCTTACTAAATTTATCAATTTTGCCTGGTAATCACATGCCCATCTCTTCCTATAATTCCCCTGTTTGATGTCTCTCTACCAATGCGATTTTGCTCTTGGGAGATTACTGAGTGGGGATCTTTAAAATCATGTAGCTGCCTTGATGCTCTAAATTTGTATCCCTTTTTTAATTGTTCAGATCCGTGTTATGGGACCTGCTCTGTTTTCCTCTGATCTGGAAGGGTAGGTGAACTAAGTTGGTAAGGGGATTGGATTACGATACAGGCCATTCTTCGGCTGCTTACATCTGCCTCGAGGTACTTACAAGCAAAACCATTCTTCTAACCATTTAGTCTTTCCACGGTTTGTTTCAGCACAAAACCTGGTAAGAGAGGCGCCCAGTAAGAAGCCACAATGAAGCACAGCGGTGGGAACCAAGCCTGCTATGTTCTTGGTCAAAAGACCCCAAGCATCCGAGATCTCTACTCGTTGGGACATAAACTAGGTCAAGGACAGTTTGGGACGACTTACATGTGCAGAGAGATCTCAACAGGGCATGAATACGCGTGCAAGTCTATAACAAAACGAAAGTTGATATCTAAGGAAGATGTGGAAGATGTGCGCAGGGAAATTCAAATCATGCATCATCTGGCTGGTTACAAGAACATTGTCACCATTAAAGGTGCTTATGAGGATCCTTTGTATGTTCACATCGTGATGGAGCTCTGCTCAGGTGGGGAACTGTTTGATAGAATTATCTAGAGAGGGCATTACAGCGAGAGAAAAGCAGCTGAGCTGATAAAGATCATTGTTGGTGTTGTTGAGGCTTGCCATTCGCTTGGTGTCATGCATAGAGATCTAAAGCCCGAAAATTTCTTGTTAGTTAACAAGGACGATGACTTCTCTCTTAAAGCCATTGATTTTGGGCTTTCCGTGTTCTTCAAACCAGGTGAAACATCTACTGCAACATCTTCAGTCATAAAATTTCTAACTTACTTCATCATCTCCAACTTTTTCAGGTCAAATATTCGAGGATGTGGTTGGAAGTCCGTATTATGTTGCACCTGAGGTTCTGCTCAAGCATTACGGACCAGAGGCTGATGTGTGGACCGCAGGGGTCATACTGTACATATTGGTGAGCGGAGTCCCTCCGTTCTGGGCAGGTATGCACCCAAATGAAACAAATGTGATAAAGCTTCTCAAGGTAAAGGATTCTTATATTTTTTTTATGCATCAACTCCAGAAACACAGCAAGGGATCTTTGATGCAGTGCTGAAGGGACACATTGACTTTGAGTCTGATCCTTGGCCCCTAATATCTGACTCTGCGAAAAACTTGATCCGTGGCATGCTATGCTCCCGGCCGTCTGAGCGACTGACAGCTCATCAAGTATTGCGTAAGTCTAACCGGTATGCTCTTATTTCATGTCCTGTATAGAGCTTACTTAGAATTTTGCAGGCCATCCTTGGATCTGCGAAAATGGAGTTGCGCCAGACAGAGCACTAGATCCTGCTGTGCTTTCTCGTCTTAAGCAGTTTTCTGCAATGAATAAACTAAAGCAGATGGCTTTAAGGGTAAACAGCCAGACGTCAGCCTTTTTCCCAATTACGTATTTATGAATTATTTTCACATAAATGTATTCTGATGTGATTCAGGTAATAGCCGAGAGTCTCTCCGAGGAAGAAATTGCTGGATTGAAGGAAATGTTCAAAGCAATGGACACGGATAACAGTGGAGCGATTACATTCGACGAGTTGAAAGCTGGGTTGCGAAGATATGGCTCTACCCTCAAGGATACTGAGATCCGGGACCTTATGGAGGCTGTAAGCACTTTGCTCTAATCTGATATATGTGAGTACCTGCTTGAAATCAGTTTGTTAAGTACGAATCTGTGACTTTGCCTTACCAGGCAGATATTGACAAGAGTGGGACCATAGATTATGGTGAATTCATAGCTGCAACGATCCATCTAAACAAATTAGAGCGTGAGGAACATCTTCTCTCAGCCTTCAGGTACTTTGACAAAGATGGGAGCGGTTACATCACAATCGATGAGTTACAGCATGCATGTGCTGAACAGGGAATGAGTGATGTATTTCTCGAAGATGTGATCAAAGAAGTAGACCAAGACAATGTGAGAGACCTGCGCTTATGCATGCATATCTTCTGGGTTGCAGATTACAGGGATCATTTTCTTCTTCTTGTTTCAGGATGGAAGGATTGACTACGGAGAGTTTGTAGCTATGATGCAGAAAGGCATTGCTGGAAGAACAATGAGAAAAAGCATAAACATGAGCCTCAGGAACAATGCCGTCTCACAGTGACAAAAAAAAAAACACGATCTCACAATTATGTACAGGTTAGGCCTTTCTCAGTTTTTCTAGGTAAATGCCATCAAATTCTTTCCCAAACTGACAGTCTACGTCTCTGTGTGTGTGAATCCTTCATTGTTGATAGAGCTGGCCCAAGATATGCAAAAGCTACAAAGCTCTGCAGAAATATGGTTCACATGGTATGGATCTTTCCCCGTAAAGATTGAATCAATAAAGGCTCTGCACTCTACAATGAACTGATATGTATTAAGATAAACTTAATCAACATATAGGAAGTCATAGGAGATTATTGTAAATTGACTTATATGCACACATCCTATAACAAAAATAATAAGAATGGTTACTGTGGATTTAAATGATGATTCATCATACATCTAACAGAGCGGTCTCTCTTCCCATTGTTACCTCCTGCACAAAGTAAATAAGATATAATAGTGACCACAAGTTGCAAGGCGAGGAATGGTTTGTCACCAGAGAAGATCATCGTTACCTTTAGCTTAGAATCGCTGGAGAAGACGCAGCTGGATGTGATAGCATGGCCTGGCTCAAACACCCATCCTACTGAAAACACTCTATCGTCGTCTTTTCGTTCTTGGAGAGAGCACCACAGCCCTTGCGGAAGCAGTAGAAGATCCTTTTCTTCTCTCACAATCTCAACAACCTTCTCGCCAGTAACTTGTTGAATACAATCCTGAACATACTCACAAAATGAAACACTTCAAGTTCACTACGGCGATCATAGAATGGATGTACACATTTGGAAGAGGAAAAAAAAAACTCACGGAATCGGAGGCGTGAAAGCTAGTGGTAGCAAGTAGAACTCTCCAAGAGCCGGCAACCACTGAAGCTGCTGTGGTAGGTGTAGAAGCAAACCCGGAGCTACGGATTGCACAACCTCCAAGCTGATCGCCATCTCTGAAGGGACCGTACCACTGCTCACAGAAAACTTTGATACTCTGGAAGGACATGTTGGTCTCTGCTAAGCTAACAACCTGGAAAATCCTCACCCGAGACTGCTTGTCATTTGGATTGATCAGACAATGCTCCAACTCTAGCTGGTTGTTCCGCAAAGGCCACACAGCGACATAGGAGCCAGTGACAGAGTACGAAAATGCTAGTGCAGATGATTCGGTTAACCCGATGCTCCTGTGGTCGATGGTGTAACGGGTGGCTGCATCTGCTTCACATCCAACAGTGGGGAGGAGTTTGATGGACTTGTAAAGAAAAGTGTGTGCGTGAGGCTGGGCAAGAGTGGGACACTGCGTCTGCCAATCGAACACCTTCACTTCCCATTCTCTATAGGCTTCTGGAACCACCGATTCAGGTAGTTCAAGCGGTTGTCCTTCGCGTGTAAAATCTGCTCCGAAACCGTCCCATTCGCCAGACACATTATGAGCGAACTCAGACCACGCTAAAACCCATTACACAATCAGCAAAGACACGGTTGTAAACAAAACAAAAATGAATCAAATATATAAACTTAAAGGTACGATCGAGAGCATACGACTGAAATCAGGGGCAGGCCGGCTCTGCCCCAGGGCAATATCCGAGGCGATTTCAGCTGAACAAGAAAGAGGGGAAATTGTTGTTCTGTGTATAAACCCTAAAGCGGAAGAGAAGGGATAAGAGAGATTTTTAAACGACGGCGGTGACCGAGGCGGAGGAACAGGGACAGGTGTACGGCTCCGCCATAAGAGGGAGCTTCCAGAGGACGACGATATCATTTGGGAGCAGAGAGAGAGCCAGAGACTCTGTATTTTGTTGATTATCTTAGAGAAATACATATTGAAGGGTTTAAATTTATTTAAATGGATTTTTGAACTGGATCATGAAAATGGGCCTATTTCGTACGGCCCATCAACGACCATGGAAGAAACAGCGCCCTTATGTATATGATGTATTGATATCGATAGACATGATACTGAGTTTAGCAGCGAGACAGAATACATAAGTTTGAGTGGGAAGCTGGTGACGAAGCACCACAATCACAATAATAGTTGAGAAAACTAGGAGAAATCAAGAATGACCAAATCTTGTTTGCAAACTGTTTCTTGAAATCACAGCCTTGTACGCGATTTGACACATTTGCTACAGCAAGACCTGAATTAGAGACACTTCATAACTCATCTCGTGAACCACTTTTGCCTTCATAAGATGCATAAGCTTTGATGATTGAAACATACACGTCAATGCCCTTCAAGTACTCAGCTTTGCCCAGATACTGCAACAAAGCAAAATGATGATGATCCTCCAAACAACAAGCAAAGTGAATCAAACCAATGAAGTTTTTATATGTAACCAGGCGGTACCTCATTGTGGTCATGAAGCAAACTCGGGGTGTTTGATATGGGAGAGAACCCAAACGCAGGCACGCCAGCCTTGCGAAAGTAGCGAGCATCTGTTGACGCAGGGAAAATCTCAGGCTTACTGGTCCTACCGCCGGCTTCCTTAACAGCAGTTTCCAAGAGCCCCCACCACGGATTTGAATCATCTGCGGCTGTGAGGAACTGCTTCCCAGTAACCTTCTGCTTGAACTGCCCCAGCTAACTCATAATTAGTTGAAGTTGTCGAAAAGAGGTCCTCTGGTAACAATACTTTGCCTAAAAGGGGCACTCTAACTTGCTTTCGACTTCGTTCAAAGAGTAAACAGTTTCTAATTCACTGAAATAGAGATACGGGTGGCCAAGAAATTACCTCAAAGGACATGTTTCGCGATGCTGGAGCCCATTCTTCCACCAAGCGTCTTTCGAGTACTTCAGCATCAACGCTGGGTGGAACACGAATGTCGAAACCAGCTTCTGCCTCAGATGGCTGCAGATTCATCACGAAACCCTGGAGGAGAAAGAGCCCAATTGTGAGATGCAGTCAAACAAACAAAAAAGACATTGAAGATAGAGATACAAAAGGGAGAGAAGTAGTTACAGTTGGAGAAGGTGTGCCAGCCTTGAGGAAGGCCATGTTAACGGAGACGACATCGCCTTCAGCGGTGCCACCAGCTTTGAGCAGATCAAACTGGGAAGCTCTGAATCTGCGAATACTCTCAATGCTTTTGAGGAGGTTCTCCATGGCAGAGTGATCATAGAGCTTGGCACCATGGCCAGGTGGACCTTTAGCCTTAATCACCAACCACCAGGGACTCCTCTCTCCATAGAATACTCTGTAACTCTCAGTAGGCGATGGCAGGCCTGAATCATCCACCAAACAAAAACACTTTGGTACACTATAAATTAAGATAGAAGAATCAAATCAGTAGAGTGCGTTTAAGTACCTTCGTCGAGCGCGATTGCGATGTTCAAGCTCTTGAAGAAGTTGGAATCGACGAACTTTTCAGCGCCATCGTGGCCGCCGATCTCTTCATCGGGGACGAAGGAGAGGTAGACGGAACGGAGAGGGTGGAAGCCGGAAGCCTGGAGCTTGCGAATGGCCTCGAGGTATTGCATCCCGACGCACTTCATGTCCTGGGAACCCCTGGCATAGATGTTGCCGGAAGTATGGTCGATGTGAGCAAGGAGAGGATGGTGGGTCCACTTGGAGTCCTCGAAGGGAACGACATCGGTGTGGGAGTTGAGGAGAATGGCAGGTAGGGTTGGGTCGGAGCCGACCCATTTGAGGAGGAGAAGTGGCTTCCCCTTGACATGCTCGATCGTCTGAGATTCGAGGGAGAGTGGTTTCGCCTGAGAGATTATAAAGTCAACGGCTTTGTAGTAATCCGGGTTGGGCTGAACCGTGTTGATTCGGAGATACTCCTGGAATCTGGAGACGGGCGCATCGTCGCCGGCCACCGCAGAAAGGAGGCATAGATGGAGAACAAGGAGAAGGGGAAGAAGAAGAAGATTCATGGCGGCCATAGGGGGAAGTGAGGAAACTGGAAGAATCGTCTCGTGTGCCCTTATTTGGGGAGGAACAATCGCTATTCTCCCTTTCTATTCTTTCTTTGTTTTTTTTTTTATTTAAATCGAAAAACACTTCAATTACAACTGTATCCTCGTCAAAACTGTATTATTACATCAAAAACCTGGATATATCCACCCACCCATTAATATAACCCAGAAACCCGAAATAATAAAAAAGAAAAAAACAAAAATTTGAAAAAATTAAAAACTCCAATCCCTAATCGAACCGTTTTTTCTTCTTCTCTTTTTCTCTCTAAGTGTCGAGAACTCCTTAGAGATTTGAATTCGAGTAGTTTTTCTCAGTTTCTCTCCATTTTGAGCAATCATCGAGTATCATCTTGAGTATTGACATTGATTGGAAAATGTATGGTTGAAACAAGAAGGGGAAAGAAGAAAGAAATGGTTGAAGAAGCATTGGTGCGAGCGGCGCCGGCGGAAGAAGCCGAAGAAGCAAAAGCGGCGGAAGTAGCAAAAGAAGCAAAAGCGGCCGAAGAAGAACCCATTGGGGAAGGGGAAGTAGACAAAGCGGCGGACGAAGAGTTTCTCTCGGCGGATGAGAATTCTCCGCCGGCCGGGGAGAAAGAGATAACTCCAGAAGTAAACGAGGAAGAAGGAGCATTGGCCGATTTCCGTGAGGCGCCGGCGGTTGTGGCAGAGGAGGAGACCGGCGGCGAGAAGGAGAAAGAAGACGGTGAGGAGAGTAGTGAAACTCTAGGATCCTCATCGGATAGTGATGGAGAAGGAGAAGAAGTAGAAAAAGAAGAAGGAGAAAAAGGAGAAAAAGGAGAAGAAGGAGAAGAAGGAGAAGAAGGAGAAGAACAAGAAGAACAAGAAGAAGATGAACAAGAAGAAGATGAACAAGAAGGAGAAGAACAAGAAGAACAAGAAGAAGAAGAACAAGAAGAAGATGAACAAGAAGAAGAAGAACAAGAAGAAGATGAACAAGAAGAAGAAGAACAAGAAGAAGGTTCTAAAGAGAAAGATGGAGATAATGACGAGGAAAGCTCCAACTCGGGAACCAACTCGAATGAAAACGATGTAAGGGTCTAAAACGATTTGGTGTTTGATTCAATTGATGTATGGTATTTCGTTAAAAGTAGGTATAACTTGTCATGTAATACTGGTAGAACTAGCTGTAAAACTGGTAGTGTTGTGAAATTAGGTGTAACTCGGTAGAACTGGTTAAGTAAAACTGGTAGAACTATAAGTAAAACTGACTGTGTTGTAAAACTAGGTAAAACTGGGTACAACCGTTTGGGTATAAATGGTAGAACTGTCTGTGTTAGTGAAACTAGGTACAACTGGTAAAACTGTGTGTGTAAAACTGGTAGAACTAAGACAATATTACTGTTTTTTTGCAGGATTCCGACGACGAGACACCAATGCAGCCGTTAAGAATGTACTTCCCACCGAGTCAGTACAACAAGAAGATAAAGCTATCGACAAGGTGCCATATCCATGAAACTTTGTCTCTACTAGATAAAGGGTTGGATATTCCTATGACGAAGAGCGAGAAGGAGTGGTTTGAAGACCATATGCAGTTCAAGCACATATTCCACTTGAAAAAGGACCCAAACCACAAGGTTATGGGAATGTGGATGCTCCTTCTTCGTACGGCTTGCATAGAGAAAAAGAAGGAAGTTTGGTTCGTGGTAAACGGTGTCCAAATCCGGTATGGATTGAGAGAGCATGCTTTAATGTCGGGTTTGGATTGTCGGGCCTATCCGGAGGGTTACATGAACGCGGGAAGTGAAAGGTTCAAGAGGAAGCACTTCAGGAACCTTAGGAGGGTAAGATTGGAAGACGTCAAGGAAAAACTACAGACGATGGTTCCGGATCGTACTCATGACAGGTTGAAGATGATGGTACTCTACTTTTTAGTGAGTATCCTTGTCGGGGACACCAAGAACTCGGGTAAGTTAGCGACGCCCATAGATAGCCTATGTCTACGAGCGGTTAACGATCTGCAGTTTTGTGCTACCTTTCCTTGGGGAAGGTACTCGTTTGAGCACATGCTCAAGTCCATCTCGCACACTATGCGCCATTTTGATGGGGTGGTGGAGAAAGAAGGAGCAATTTGGCCGGTTCCGGGATTTTGTATCCCGATGGAGGTTAGTGGTTTGTCTAATCGAATTTCATTGTGATTGTTAACTTCTTTTGTGCTAACATGAATTATATATGTTGTGTAGTTATTGGCTTTTGAGGCGATTCCTACACTTGGTAATGAATTCATTGAATTTAGGCCAGACGCGGACATAGAGTGTCCCCGGATGTGTAGGAGGAAATTCAAGCAAGGGGCGATGAAAGGGTTTTCTCTCAAGAAGCTAAATGACGTTCTCGGTGAAACTAAGGTTAGTTGTCCAATTCATCGAAACTTTAACTAGTAATTTGGTGTTTTTAATGTGTGTGTGTTTTCTTTTGTTTAAACAGGATATTGTCTCTATCATAGAATGTACCGATGAAGAATCTGTACTGTTGGAAGAAATCATCGACGAAGGTCACGAAGATGATGATGTGCATGATGTTGTGGTTGAGAGTTGGATGAATCTCATTTCGAAAGGTAAGGGTGTGTTTTTCGAAGAGATGTTCGATGAAGATGTGGTGGCCCGGTCAGAAAACGAAGATACCCTTCCTACACCGAGAATAGCCTTCAATACTCTAGAGGCTCAGCTCAACACCCTCCAAGAAGAAGTGAGTTCGAAGTTTGTTATCATTTTCGAGAAGTTAGATGGACTTGAGAAACGGTTTAATGAATTGGAAGCTTCCGTGAAGAGAACGGAAGAAGATGAAGAAACAGCGGGGGAGCAAAAGAAGACGAAGAAGGAGAAAGGTGAAAAACGACCAGCCCCCCTAGAACCCGGTTCAAGACCGAAGACAAGATCGAAGAAAAACTAAATGTGGTTGTGGTGATGGTTGTGAACTTGGTTATGTTATTTGTTTTATTATTGTGTTTTTGGTTGTGTAAACTTAACTTATTTTCAGGATTTGGTATTAGTAGAATTACCTAGTACGATTTCAGATTTTCCAAGGAGTTGGTAAAACTAGAAATACTAGTAAAACTGAGTAAAACTTGACTACGGTTTGGCATAGTAATACTAGTAAAACTGAGTAAAACTTGACTACGGTTTGGCATAGTAATACTAGTAAAACTG